AATTCAGCCACAAGTTGAAATAAAATTTAGAAATCTAATGTACTGCATAATATCCTATTCATGATTGGTAATTCAGACTCCAATTAGGTGATTACTGTCAGGGATAAAGGTCCAGTGTGCAGGTGGCCATTACTGAATGGCTTATTAATCTGCTGTTGATTGAATACTTCTTGAGTTCAAGGATTTATGTTAGCTGCTAGAAATACAGTGGTAGGCATTTTAGCTTTCTCAAATGAGAAAATACGCAATACTTGTCTGTGTGTGTGTGGGGGGGGGGGGGTAGCTTATTTTACTTAGTGTGGTGATCTCCGATTCTACCCATTTTCCTCGACTGACATAATTTAATTCTTCTTAATTGTTAAGTAAATTTCCATTGCATATGTAGACTATGTTTTCTTTATCCATTCATCCAGTGAGGGGCCACTATGCTGATAATTTGACTATTAATGATGGTTCCATAACAATTATTACTACACAGTTATCTCTATTATATGCTGATCTTGATTCTTATGGACACATCTAGATGTAGCAGAATTAGGTCTATGGAAGTTCTATATTTAATTGTTTGAGGAACTACTCACAATTATTTGACCCCATCAAAATTATAAATGTCTTTTTTTTATGGGTTTGGGGGCTTGAACTCAGAGTCTCAGCACTGTCCCTGAGTTCTTTTGCTCAAGGATAATGCTCTACCACTTTGAACCACAGTGACACTTTCAGTTTTTGAGTTGTTAATTGGAGACAGGAGTCTCATAGGGATTTTTCTACGTGGGCTGACTTTGAACCATGATCCTCAGATCTCAGCCTCCTGAGTAGCTAGGATTACAGGTGTGAGGTATTGGTGCAAGGCTAACTGCCTTTTTTTTTTTTTTTACAAGAAAAAAGAAGTATTGAAAAGTCTGTTGAGGAGACTGGAACTTTTATTTCTTGTGTTAAGAATGCAAATTTATATAGCAATTTTGGAAAGGAATTTGCACTTTCTGCTATCAGCCCCACATGACAACCCCCAGTGATACCCAGAGGCATTATTAAACGAAGAAATATCTCCACGTAAAAAAGCTTTATGTAAGAATTTTTAATAGCTTTATTCTAAATATAATCTAATGCAATGTAGAAATGCAAGCTACATGGATGAACATACTCATAAGTTATGGATATGTCATAGAACGCTAAGGAAAATTTAGCAGAATTTGGTCTGTAACTTGACTGAGCTCGAGTTAGCCTTTGTGAAGAATATACTCAAGGATTTTTAGTTTATCTTAATGCAATTAAAAATGAAAGGATGTGAAGAATTTTTGATGAGACTTGAGACCTATTACTCAGAGCTAATTATGCTAAAAAATTTTTCATTAAAAACTATTTTCTCTGAAGTTTTTTCAACTTAATTGAATATGCCATAATAAACAGGATTAATTGCATTTTAGTTATGAAGACTTCTGGAAGCCACAACATCAGAGATAAAAGTCACACAAGTTTAAAATTAGGAAGGCTGTGTCATCAATCAAAATTTGTTCCTTCAAGTTTTCTTAGCACAGAAATGTATTGAACATGTTTTCTCAAATCGCATTTATTATTGCGTTTGATCTAACTTGTTTACTGAGTAGAATTAATATTTTCAAAAGAAAATATTAAGATATGCATTTCAATATTAACACCATGTAGCATATTATAACTATAAATATAAATGTCAAGTATTTCAAGTGATTCACACTGTAAGAAGATGTAAAATCAAAAGTAAATATTATAGGTAGAAATGTTTAATATAGTTCTAATATAGTCCTTTTATAGTCCTAATATAGTCCTTTAGTTTAGAATCAGTGTTACAATAAACCTATCCTGAAGAAATTTGCAACTCTTCAAGGATATATTAACTCTATTCAGTGATACATTTTATATTCACCGCTATTAAAGTAACACTTACTACTTTATATTTTAAATTGTTAAATTGTTGTCCTTTCCAGTAAAAGCTGATTTCTTCAGGAGAAAAACTAAGTTTATTTATCACACTGAATGAGACTGCATAGTTACTGATAGATAGAATTTATGGAATGATTATTAAGTGAGGAAAGTAGGAATGTGGAAGTGAAGGGTAGGTGGTCAGAGAAGCTAATAGTATAAAGGAACAAATAGTATAAATAATATAATCAAATATAGGAGTTAATAGTATAAAGGAGCAAAAAAGCTCAAGGACAGAAGTCAGGTGCTGAATTCAAGTCCCAGCGCTGGTGCCAAATATATATAAAATAGGAAAACTTCGAAACCAGAGAAAGGAAAGTTAAATGAAAACACTCCTTTGAAATGAGAAGGATATAATTTTCATGTAAAATTGGATTTCCATGTAACACAAAGAATTACCTGCCGTTAAATAACTTAAACTTATTAGCATTCAGTCCTTATAATAGTATGTATATAATTTGGTTGTGTCTCCCGAGGATTCAAACGCAGGGAGTAGGTTCCTCACTGTGAGGGAGTGGAAGTAGATTAGGTGGAAGAGTCATAAAGCGTTGCAGCAGCATAGAAGGTTCCTAGGTTATTTGTGTGGAATTTAATTGGCAAAATTGTTACTAGAAATATTGGTGTCTACTTTGTCACTTCAATCGTTACTTCGTCACTTCAAAATTCCTCATTAGAATTTTTACCATCCAGTCTAAATTCACTATTTGAATATAGTATGTATTATTCTCTATTACTCTTTAGCTATTCCTTAAACCTTATTTAAGAACAAGCCATATCTTTTTCTAAATGCCAATAAAATCTAAGAAATTATTCAATACTTAAACATACATTTCATTTAAAAATATTATACATTTCATTTCTAAGAAGTGACACAAGTGCTCTGACTTCAGGGAATAGATAGACTATTGGCCTACTTAGCTCCATTTTTATAGATTTATGGGATACTTGTGTTAAATGCAGTCTTAGAAGTAGATATGTAGTTTTATGGCAATGTGGTAGAGAGCTACCTAATTCTCCCTGAGAACAGAAAGTATAAAGAGTCTTTCTAGCAGATTAGATCATAGAACAGAGACATACAGGTACTGAAGTTTAGTCAGATATGCAGAAGGGATAACTGGATCTAAGAGAAAGGTTATTATACAAGGCGATGGTGATAGAAAGACCATAGTTCTAAGTCATAATGCATAAGGTGAGTCAGAAGATCTGGTGCATAATCTAAAGAAGGCTGAATCCAATCTAGAAAACCCTGCTTTTCTCTTCTTCTTCAAAAACAACAGCTGTATTTTATAAAGAATATTTGGATTTACAGGAGAATTAACCAACAAGATATTTCCAGTCACCCCTTATTCTAGACCCCAAACCACTCTTCTAATAACACCTTCCACTAGCATGGAACCTTTGTTTCAGTCATTAACTTTGTAGACAAATTCTGATTACTCATAGCTTCCAGTAGTGTTCTTTATTATACAGATAGGTATCTGCCACAACAGTCATGAGAATAGTTTAACTAGACTGCAGATTTTTTTTGTCCTTCACCTGTGCACACCAACCATTCCTAAAGCTGTCACCCAATGATTCTTTGTCTTTATGATTTGATTTTTTCCAGAATATTATAAGGTTGGAAACATAGAGCAGGTCAACTTTCTACATTCACTTCTTTCAGTTAGTAATATGCATTTATCAGGATCCTCGTTAATTATGATATAGCTCATCAACTCAAGCAAAATACCCAAATAATTATTTGGCTATTAATGCTACAGCAATAACTTCAGTTTTTCTTGATAATTGCTTTAGAGATTGGTTTCAGGTATGATCTGAAGACATCATGATTATTTTTTTGAATTTAGAAAATAGCTAAAAATACCAACTTGCTTGCCACTTCTTTCTACTATTTTCCTTATGGTTTCGTGATACATATTCTCAATCTATAGATTATTTGCAGAAAGTTTTTCATCTCCATGTTCAGTTCATGAAACTTGGCTTTTGTCCATAGATATTAACCATATCTATTGTGCATGGCCTGATTTGACAAAGGTGAAAAATAGTTAATAAGTCATCATAGATGAGAAGCAATCAGTGATCAAGAAGACTGTTGTAAAGCCTATGGCAGCACAGTAGCGCTCCCTTTCTCTGTTCTCTGCTAGTTTACCCTACCTATCTGCATTATTTCTGTATCCTTTAACACATTGACTAAATGAAGGTGTCCATGCTAGCCTGCACATGAATATTGATAAAGGCCATTGTATTTATTCTTGTCTAGGTCAAGAACAAATATGTTCAGAAATTTAGATATTTGTTTTATAGCATAAATGTATTTCCTTGTGCTTTCTATGTGGCAAGTACACTTTATTTTCACATCTAAAGCTTTACATGAGAGGCTCGGTAGTATTATGGCCAGATGTGAATTTTTGATCTCTCAGCCAGATTTAGGAAGGGAATTTGCATTGAGTAGGAAAATACTAAAACAGGAAAAACCAGATAAGAGACTAGTTTGTGTTATTCAGAATTGTGAGAGATAGTCTTAAGGACAGAGCCCCTTAATTAAGCCTCAATATTTTAGGCTGGGTGACTTATTGGAAGTAATTGCTAGGGTGGGAAAAAATAATGAATGACTTTCAGGTTCCTGATTAAAGCAAAGCTATTGCATTTTTTGGACCGAGGATGAATTCTTATATGCGTTAAGCCTTATATGCCTGTGATTTTAGGTTGCTTCTTTGGGGGAAAAACAATCTCAAATGACACATTACATTCTGCTTATACTCTACAATATTTTTCTCTGTGCTCTTACTCATTTCACACATGTTCCCCTGGAACCTTGATTGCTGTTCTTTCTGCATACAAAGTAACATTATTCGCAGGTAGGCATGCAATTTCCATAAATAAAGCTTTCCCAAAGTAGAAAAAGCATACATTTTCATCCTAGGATTAGGAAACAAAAGAGAAAATATGGCTTCCTGATGCCTAACAATGTTGTGTGGACAGATAGGAGGCGTGCCTTGTACAACCTGAGTTTGTCTCATGGCTGTTGTATGTCTTGCGTTTAGCTGGGATGACAGCAGTTCAGTGAGCAGTGGTCTGAGTGACACCCTGGATAACATCAGTACTGATGACCTGAACACATCCTCTGTCAGCTCATACTCCAACATCACTGTCCCTTCCAGGAAGAATGCGCAGGTGATGACTATTCTCTTCCTTTTTTCCAGTGCTGCCACTAGTTTCTTCCCCTTGCTTATTTTATAGTACCGTTGTACAGTTGTAATGCAGTCCCTTAATCTGAAATAATTGCTTAATCAGCTACAAGAATTTTCATATCAGTCCATTCTGTGTATAGAATATATATGGGGAGATAGAGACAGATAAATTAGATATAAATGTAGATATAGATTTCTACTTTATAATCTTACCAGAAAGGCCAAAGGTGCGATTCCTTTCCTTCTGATATTGGTGCATTTTTTAAAAATCAAACAATTATTTTGGTTGCTCAGCCTTGAATAGTTGTTTTTTATTAATTTCACATTGAAATAGTTCTCATGTGAATGGCAAGTCAAGAATCGACATTAAATAATTATGTTTTATCATGTTTTAGTTTTCCTTATTGTACATGACAGAAAATTCCTTTCTTTCTGGGGTGTTTAATTAGTATTTCTGCACATATTTATCCTGACATTCTCTAATATGTGCAAGTGAGAATTACATGTCTAAAATTAATGACATTTAAATGAAGATATAGATAAAAATAGAATTCTCTCTGGCACTCTTTGAAGTATAAATGCTGCTGTTTTGGTTTTCATTTTAACTAGTTTTCTGCAAGTGCATTCCAGGGCATCATAAAGTTTTCTGAACTATCTTTCTGTGCAGTTAAAAACAGATACAGAGAAACGCACCACAGCAGATGAGCCATGGGATGGTCCTGAGGAGCTGAAGAAAACAGAAGGGGATTTCGAAAGCCATGGTGATGGAGCTGGCAAGTGGAAAGGAGGATCCTCAGTACTTTCTGAAGACCCTGAAAAGGCAGGACAGAAGGCTTCCCTGTCCATGTCACAGACAGGTTCCTGGAGAAGAGGCATGTCTGCTCAAGGAGGAGCCCCAGCAAGGCAGAAAGCTGGTACAAGTGCGCTCAAGACTCCCGGTAGGCCTGTTGCTTGGTAGCTGTTCTGCAAAATACTCTTATTGTTGAAGATTTGTTTTCACAAATGACAGGACTCTCTCACTCTCCCCCAGCCCCTCTCTCTTGAGCCATTCCTAGGGCTTGAATTCAGGTTGTAGGTGTTGGCCCTGAGCTTTTTATTTTAACTTTTTTTTTTTTTTGTCAGTAGTAGGTCTTGAACTCTGGGCCTGGGTGCTGTCCCTCAGCTCTTCAGCTCATGGGAGCACTCTACCACTTGAGTCACAGCACCACTTCCATGGCCCTGAGCTTTTTTTTTTTTTTTTTTTGGTTTAATGCTAGTACCCTACCACTTGAACCACAGGTCTATGCATAGCTTTTTTGGTGATTAATTGGTGAGAAGAGTGTCACAGACTTTCCTTCCCAGTCTGTGTTTGAACCATAATCCTCACATCTCAACTTCCTGATTAGGCATGGTTAAAGACACAAGTCATTGGCACCCAGTTAACAGCTCTCTTTTTATATCAAATTCTTCTCCATATTTTACACTTGTATTTGTAGTACCATTGTTTATACTCAGGGCCTTGTGCATGCCAGGCAGTTGCTTTATTTTGGTCATTCCCCAGCCCATTGCATTTTATTTTTTCCAAATAGGGTCTCTCATTTATTCCCCGACAGGCCTGAACCATAATACTACTAACTATATTTCCCATATATACAAGGAATGATAGGTAATTGCCACTACACTCAGCTCTTTATTGATTAAGGTAGGATCTCTAAAATATTTTTACCTGAGGTGACCTTGAACCATGATTAGTCTGATCTCCAGCTCCCAAGTAGCTAGGATTATAGATGCTAGCAGCCTTACTAATTATAAAACAACTTTGTAATCTGAATTCCAAATACTTTATCCAGAATCCTACAAATCATAATAATCTAAGCATTCTTCACGTCATATACTCCCACAAAATCGCAATTATCTAGGCATTCTTAAGATTCTACCCTTATATTTTGGGCCTAGTGGATTTCTTAGTAGGTGTTGGTCCTTTCAGGACATGCTGAAATAAGATCAGATTGATGAATAAATAGTAAGCCTTCATTTATTCTGACTTGTTTACAAAAGTTTGCAATATTTTTGTTACCTCTGAAACTGAATTTCAGCAACACCTCTGAGTGGCAAAAGCAATCACACTAATTTAATGGGTTACATGCTGGGCATTTGAGATGCTATTTATGAATTAGACATTGTGATACAGAATATTGAAAGAAATCTAATAAATTGCAACCTCTTTAAGACTACAAAATGATTAAAGTGTCACCTGAAGTATGAATATCACAGGACATGTAAAGTATAATTACCCAACAAGTATTCAGAAGAATTTTTTTCTATTACTTAACTTGACAGGATTAAGTGGTAGTAGCCTTTAAAAAAAAAATTGTGCCACTCTTGGAGCTTGAAATTGGGGCCTGAAATTGAGCTTTTTTGCCCAGAACTAGTGTTCTTCCATTTTGAGCCACAGCTCTATATCTGGCATTTGGTGGTTAATTGGATATATGAGTCACACAGACTTTCCTGCCTGGGCTGGCTTTGAACCATCATCCTCAGATCTCAGCCTCCCAAGTTGTTAGGATTACAGGTGTGAGCCACTAGTGCCCAGGAGCCTTTTAAACAAGTCGTAGCCTTTTAAAGCAGGAGAGTTGCAACACATAAGACATCCACACATAACAGAATTACCTTGTTTTCATTTTATCTCCTTGATGCTCACATCCTCTCTGCTCTGACAGTCAATTTTTTATAGCATTCACTTCATTCCCTAAATGGGTTTGAGTGCGTGCCTGTTTGGATAAAAATAAAATGATCACTTAAAGAAGCGCTCACATGGATTTAGACACTGTTATTATGACAGCAAAATATTCGGACGCACATATTTGTTTCTTTCTTCTTGATCAGGAAAGACAGATGATGCCAAAGCTTCGGAGAAAGGGAAAGCGCCCCTAAAAGCACCGTCCCTACAGAGGTCTCCCTCGGATGCAGGGAAAAGCAGTGGCGATGAGGGGAAAAAGCCCCCCTCGGGCATTGCAAGATCCACTGCCACCAGCTCTTTTGGATTTAAGAAAGCGAGTGGAATCGGGTCATCTACGTTGATCACGAGCAGTGGAGCAACCATTACGAGCGGGTCGGCCACATTGGGTAAAATCCCCAAGTCTGCTGCTATTGGTGGGAAGTCAAATACAGGGAGGAAAACCAGCCTGGATGGCTCCCCGAACCAGGATGATGTGGGGATGCATGTGAGCTCCAAAACCACCCTCCAGTACCGAAGCCTGCCCCGTCCTTCCAAATCCAGCACCAGCGGCATCCCTGGAAGGGGGGGACACAGGTCCAGTACCAGCAGTATCGACTCCAACGTCAGCAGCAAATCAGCGGGTGCCACCACTTCAAAACTGAGAGAACCCACGAAGATTGGCTCTGGGCGCTCCAGTCCGGTCACTGTCAACCAAACTGACAAAGAGAAGGAAAAAGTTGCAGCCTCAGACTCAGACAGCGTATCTTTGTCAGGTTCCCCCAAATCCAGCCCCACCTCTGCCAGTGCCTGTGGTACCCCAGGACTCAGGCAGCCAGGGTCCAAGTATCCAGATATTGCTTCCCCTACATTTCGAAGGTAAGGCTAGGTAAAATGATACGGGATAAATATGTGTATGTGTATACATACATATATATATATATATATATGTAGACATATTATATAATGTCTTATATATGTATACTAAACACATTTTAATATATACTGAATATGTAGATTCTAAGCTGTATATATCTTAGGATGTGTAAATGTTGGCAGTTTTGTGGAGCTGATCATGGAGGTAGCTAGCAAAAGAGTACTGCTTTCATTGAGAAACCGACAAACACAATTGAGCTATTGCTGCAGCACTGGTGATACAAACAGTATGTGTAAGAGACTAAACTTCAGGTGGAGATCCCCAGTAGTGATGACATGAAATAATAGCTCACACACTTTTAACCCATCTCCACCCATCCTTCCCATAACTAAAATCTCAAACAATTAAAGTCTGTATGACTGTTGGCATTCATTTCCCATGTTCATCATCCTACTGACTCTTCATGGGTTGAAGGTGATGAATAGAGGTGATGGTTTCCTTATAAGACCTTCCATTGGACAGATGTCTACCGCACCGTGTCTTGACATAGTAAAGAACATCAAAGTCTGATCTGATTGACAGAATTTGAAAGCATGCAAACGTTTGATACAAGGTAAAAACTATGGTCTACGTTTTCCAACTTTTCATCAGTGTTTTTCAACACAACTCTGATAAGCACCAGGGGGTTTCTGTACCCAGATTGTTTTTGGTATGAAATATGGGTTGCTCTGCTCAGAGTTAGCACCGTTTATAAATATGCGAAGTTGTAAGAAAATGAATATAGTTAGACTTGGCTCAACTAGGTAAATTAAGTCTGGTTTCTCATCTGTAAAATGATAAGAGCATAGTCTGCCAACTGAATCAAGAATTTTGAGCTTTTGGAAATACAGTGTTGAAACATTTACTCTTACATTCAAGCAAACTTAGATACATAATTTTTAGAACATCAGTATGAGGTTTGATTCTTCATGAGAGATGTTAATAAAGAAGAACTGGCTACTTGAAACATGGATTCTCACTGAAATGGATAAATTATGCCTGTAGTGAGTGTAAATATTTGCATTGTTGAAGAAAAAGCCAAGAGTGCCCTCCTGTGGCCCATTACCTATGAAACAATTTCTCATATTCACCATAAAATATGTCACTTTAGAAAATACGCATATCATCACAACTTAATTAGTAATCATTATGCCATTACTTCATACCACTTTATTTCCATATTTACATAAATTTGATTATATCATCTGCTTCATTTACAAAACTAAAATGTTTTCTGAACTAGACTCTGATATCTAATTTAGCACTTAAGTGTTTCAAATCACTCTTGCAAATAAAATTTGAATAGCACTGGCAACCTCTATAAAAAGCCTTTGGCCTTTGAAGAGGGAAAAATACAGACAAATTCACATTACCATGAATCCAGTATGTCAAACAGCCTATGTTCTGTCATGCAGGCCTTCAGGGACTCAGCTTGCTTTCCTAAACCTTGCCTTAAATGTTCCTTTCAGAATTTGAGTAAACCATTTTTTTAATATAAAAGCCAAAACAGAAACACCCATGCACGTGCTATATATTGAATGAGTAGAAGTTGTTTCATTATAATGGTTCTGTAGAAAGACAGTCACTAAAATGGTCAGACTATGGGAGCGAAATCTTTTTTAGACATTTAAATTGTGAAAGCCAGGACCTTGCATCTTTGACTTTTGTCCACATCTCCCACCCCAGGTAGCTACCCAGTACTGACTTACTCTTCTGATGATGGAAGAGAGTTTCAGTGCTTGATTAATTAAACAGTCCAAGTTTATCAAGTTTACGAACACAAAGGCAGGCAGTGCTTGGAAGCTTCTTACACCAAAGCACTCTTGGCTCTGTGTGATGAAACCCTAAGGATGAAGTGTGGATATTAGTTTCTTGGAACAACTGAAGTTGTTATTTGTTTTTCTTTTAGGTTGTTTGGTGCCAAGGCGGGTGGCAAGTCTGCCCCTGCACCTAATACGGAGGGAGTGAAATCCTCCTCAGTAGTGCTCAGCCCTAGTACCACATTAGCGCGGCAAGGCAGTCTGGAGTCACCATCGTCTGGTACGGGCAGCATGGGCAGTGCTGGTGGGCTGAGTGGCAGCAGCAGCCCTCTCTTCAATAAACCCTCAGACTTAACTACAGATGTTATAAGCTTAAGTCACTCCTTGGCTTCCAGCCCAGCGTCGGTTCACTCTTTCACATCAGGTGGTCTTGTGTGGGCTGCCAATCTGAGCAGTTCCTCTGCTGGCAGCAAGGACACTCCAAGCTACCAGTCCATGACTAGCCTCCATACGAGCTCTGAGTCCATTGACCTGCCCCTCAGCCATCATGGCTCCCTGTCTGGACTGACCACAGGCACTCACGAGGTTCAGAGCCTGCTCATGAGAACGGGTAGTGTGAGATCTACTCTCTCAGAAAGGTGAGATTTCCTGGAGGCCTTCATGAAGAAGCCCTCAGCCCTTCCCTGCTCTGTGCTCAACCCTTCCCTCCATTAAATTCCCGTGATTTCACTGTGAGTGACAGAAGACTGAAAGGATTTAAGATTGAGGAAACCTAGCCTTTTATTTAATCTTATTACACAATTTGTGGAGGAATAAAATACCTAAGGTCAGGGTGATTAGGTAATTAAGGCTCTGACGATGAATGTGTAAACTTAACAGCCAGTAGACAATTTTAAAATATGTCAAGATTGTATTTATATACTGAATGAGGTCATTTTAGTGATGCGACTTAAGCCCCATAGTAACACTATCTCTTTCTGATAATTAGAACATTTTTAAAGACAAAATTTAAATGGATTCTATAATAATGCCCTGAGCATTCTGTTAAAATAATGATAATGTATTTCTCTGAAAAAAAAAAAAAAAAGCCGAAAGATCACTGGGGAAATTCTAGTTGAATTGGAGAATATGTCAGCTGTCAGCAGTGCATCCGTTTTTTGTTTTTTTTTTTGATTAAAAAATCTTTATGAAACAGAAGAGTGACAGTTACATAAGTCAGGCAAAATGCCATTCCCTTTTGTACAGTGTCACCCTTTCCCTGGCTGTCTCCCAGTAGCAATGCATCCTTCCAGTAAAGGATACACCAGCACCATTTTTAAAACAGGTCTCCTGAATATTGATCATATTACAAGATGTTTCCGTATTTCACTTTTCCATATATTACTTTTCAAACTTAAAATGGAGAATATGGAGACATTTTCTACCTGATACAGTGATTAGAGTATGTCACTCTCAAATCTCTAGATTCCCACCTTCCCTCCCCAGCAGAAAAAGCATCCTTTCTAAAATATTTGGTACTGACCATTAATCTCAAGAAATGCTGCCATTTTTCCCTTACTCATAATATGTATAACAGTAATAATGATAAAAATAGTATGCATATAATAATAATAGTATGCAATAGTATTATTATCTTGAAACACAAAACTTTCAGAAATCGCCTTAGTTTGCAACTTTTATTCTTCAGAAAACAAACAAACAAACACCAAATACCTGGCACCTTCCTCTAAACATTCACTCAGTTATTGGTGCAGATCTGTCTACTCTTTTCCAGACCTTCATCCTTACTTCTGAAGTAATTTTGAAAGTATCAATTAACATCCTTACCTAGCCAGGTACCAGTTGTTCATGCTTATAATCTGAATGGTGAGATCTAAGGATCACTGTTCAAAGCCAACCTGGGCAGAAAAGTCTGTGAGACTCTTGTCTCCAGTTAATCACCATAAAAACCAGAAGTGGAACTGTGACTCAGGTGATAGAGTCCTAACCACAAGTACAAAAGCTCAGGACAGATCTGAAGCCATGAATTTAAGCTCTATTATTAGCACAAAACTAAAATCTTTATCTAGACATTCTCTATAGTGTCCATTAATCTAAAACTCACTGCTCTATTCAACCTGTGTGTGTGTGTGTGTGTGTGTGTGTGTGTGTGTGTGTGTGTGTGTGTGTGCGCATGTGTATGTGTGTGTTTATATGTGTGTGCTAGTCATAAAGCTTGAACTCAAGGCCTGGGTGCTGTCCCTAAGATTTTCTTATCACTTGAGCCACAGCTCCACTTCTAGCTTTTTAGTCTTTCATTGGTGATAAGAGTCTTACAGACTTTCCTGCCCAGGCTGGCTTTGAACTATAATGCTCAGATCTCAACTTTCTAAATAGCTGGGATAATAGACATGAATCAGGCTTATGTTTGTTCTTTCTTTCTTTCCTTCTTTTTCTTTCTTTCTTCCCTTCTTCCTTCTTTCTTTTTTCTCTTCTTCCTTCCTTCTTTCCTTCCTTCCTTCTTTCCTTCCTTTCTTCCTTCGTTCTTTCCTTCCTTCCTTCTTTCCTTCCTTCCTTCCTTCCTTCCTTCCTTCCTTCCTTCCTTCCTTCCTTTCTTTCTTTCTTTCTTTCTTTCTTTCTTTCTTTCTTTCTTTCTTTCTTTCTTTCTTTCTTTCTTTCTTTCTTTCTTTCTTTCTCTCTTTTTCTTTTCCTCTCTTTCTTTCTCTCTCTCTCTTTCTTTCTTTCTTCTTTCTTGTTTTGAAACCCACAGTATAACAAACCCTCTTGGCATTCATTTCTCTAATCAGGAGTCAAGGACAATCATGCAGGTGTAACTTCCTCTCATAAAAGAATTTTTCAGCTAATTGAAATATTGGTGCTCCACACTTGCTAAGATGGGCTACTAATTGTAGAATGCTTTGCCCACATGAAACAAAATCATAAGGCAGATGACTAGATGATAGAAACTAAACAGGATCCACACCTCTTGTCATTTTACTGATGTACTGCATACATTAAAAACAATATTTGATCTTTTGCCAAAGAAGTTAAGCTTCTTATAACATTTTAGATTCTAGTTTCAACATTTTAAATGGATATTGATATTTTATTTAAACTTTGAACAAGTAAATGAAATTTAATAAAATGTATAAAATAACCTATGTTAATGAGCATATCCTCAATTATATACTCAGATGTGGGAAATTCAAATAGCAAATTGATAATAAAATCAACCATACCACACTTATTAGTCAGAACCACCCTCCAAAATACAAATTATTTGTACCACAATAACTATACTAAGTTGACCATTTAGCCATCAACCTACTTCTTAGTCAGATAATCAACTATAGGCCTTTGTATCCAGATAACTCTCAGGTCAAAACCAGGTAAGCCACATGTTAAAACTGATCTTATAGCCTGGCACCAGTGGCTCATACCTGTAATCCTAGCTACTAAGGGGGCTGAGATCTGAGGATCATGGTTCAAAGCCAACCTGGGCAGGAGAGTTCATGAGACTCTTTTTTAAAGGTGTGTGATAATTTATTTATAGAAATTGACCATTGTCAATTCACTAAATAGAGAGATGGGAGGGAGAGATTGGGAGAGAATGAATTAACAAAGGACATATGTGAAAGGAAATGTACTTATTACTACCTACATATGTATGCTGTATATCACCTCTAAAACCTTAAAGTAAATTAGAAAAAATAAAGGCAGACCAAAAAAGGAATTGACTATTGTCAACTATTTTAGAGGACTCTTTTTCTAGGTACTCGGAGATTTCATCTGGGAATTGGCTTACAAGTCGCTCAGCATGGTATCACTGAGAACCAAATATGTGCTAAGCATACCAATGCTGGGTGGTGAGTAATGACATAAAAGTGTATTTTTCTGGCAACGTCTAAAGGAAAAGAACATAACTTGAAATTTCCTTGGCTTCTCTGTGGCTTCTCATATTGGAAATATGACAAACCACCAGAAAACTGGAATGGCGCGTGGCTCAAGTGGTAGAATACTCACCTTGAGCTGAAGAGCTGAGAAACAGCACCCAGGCCTAGAGTTCAAGCCCCATGACCGCAAAAAAAAAAAAAAATGATGTTACAGCTTTAATGGAATGCAATTTTATATTTCACTCTTTTAGTTGAAGTCATTATTAATTTTAAAATTAATTAATTTAAAATTATTTTTAAAATACTCTTTTCAAATACATAGTTGCTTATTGTTTTTAAGGAAATGTTTCCTATGATTACTCAATTTTGGAAATAGGCTAATTTTTACAAATGGTAATACCTTGCTATTAAAATAATCTCAATAAGACTATATAAAATATAATTGAAACATTTTAAATAAGAATGTTTGGCTTTAATAAAATATATTAGTGAATATTATGCCATGTAGTGAATGTTTTCATAGGTATAGTGCCTAAGAAAGGCATTAATTCCTTCTAGGAAATTACTGGGTTGAAATAGTTGTGTGTGTGTGTTGTGTGTGTGTGTGTGTGTGTGTGTGTGTGTGTTTGAGGGCTTGATGCACTGCCCTTTACCAGCATAGTGCTCTACCACTTGAATAAAAGCTCTGCTTCATGCTTTTTTTTGTTGTGGTAGTAGTGGTTGATTAGAGATAAAAGTCTTTCTCTCTCCTCCTTTCCTGTCCAAGCTGGCTTTGAACTGTATCCTCAGATCTTCACCTTCTGAGTAGGTAGGATTCCAGTCATGAAGTACTGGCACCCAGCCTTGGATTGAAATATTTTTTTTATTCAAAACATTATACACTTACTCTTCTGTTTTTCACTTTCTCTGCTTGATAACAAAATTTTAAACAACAGCAGACTATTGAAATCCTTAATAGTACATAGAAGGATACCTTCATGTATTGTAGAGAAACTAAATGTAATTAATTGGTAGTCTTGGCTTAATCAGACTTAACTGGTCAGTAGATTGTTGGGAATGTTAAAGAAGCTAAAGAACCATGTATAAGTGAAAGTTTTAAAATCTAAATATTTAAAATTAATGAATTAGAGATATGTAGTGGAATAAAAAATTTATGAACTACTTTAGGAGACTTTTAAAAATATATATATTTTATTGTAAAGATACTGTACAAAGGGGTTACAGTTACATGAGTAAGGTAATGAGTACATTTCCTATTGAGCATTTTATTCTTAGCTTAGAAATATTAAATCAGTGAGGTTTTATTCTCATTTAACTTTCCTTTAAATTCCTACTCACTAAAATTAATAAAAATAAATGAGTATAGAAAAAGAAAGAGAAAAGATAGAATGTATTTTAAAAAATCTTTCCATATTGACTCTGTATCATTGGTGGACCTTGAACGATAACTAGTATACATTTTTATCTTTTGTTTTATCTTCATAAACTTAACCAAAAATTTAGAATAATTTTAAGTAATAACCAACTTTACTAATTCCTGGTTTGTCATTAATGTTAAATCTGAGAAGCTTGCTTTTATCTTTATGCATTAAAACTATTGTCTTGAGACCCAATTCCTGACCAAAATCCTCAAGTGTCATTGTTATAACCATTGTGGTCCCTGCTAACAATATGAGTTGGCAACTTTTAGAGGTTTACAGAAAGACTTGCATAATAACACACTAAAATCTAGAGTCCAATAGATAAATTGTGAATTTAACCGTAATTTTTCCTTAATTGTTTTCAGTAAGTGACATACAAACATGCAATTCTTATGTGCCCACTATCATTGGCAATTTTCTTTGTAACATTAAATTTGATTTGAGGCATGAAAATCCTCAGTGTGTCTATGGCCACATGGATACTTTCGCCTATTTTTGTCATTACTGAGAGATTTCTCCATATTCTTTCAGTGTGATTGTTTTTTGTTTGTTTAGCTAAACAATTAAGAAGACTTCTATAGTCAGGCTACATGCTGGATCAGGCCTCTATGTAATGTAGTGTTGTTTTTTTTTCTGTAGGAATTCCCAGTGAACAAATTTGTATAAAGCCTTTAGCTGTTAGCTCTTACAGTGCTAACTAATGGAGTACAGATGAAGAAAACATTTTAGCTTTGATTTTGAGTGCTGAAACATTAAATCAATGTGTTCATATTCATGATATCATCCCCATTATGCATGCACTGTGTGTTTAATTCTGATCACTTGAAGTTCTAAAGGAAGAGAGCAATATATCTGCAGATTTACATTAATATTACTTTGGTTATCCATATGTCAGAGTCCTCAGGCTTGTCTCAGTTTGTAGTTGACACCCTTAACTTCTTTTTTCAGAAGTCATTTCTCATTCATTATAGATAAATCTTGTCATTCCTACCAATGACAAATTGAGAATTCTTTAAAATGGAAAGGATATAATTAATAACCTTTTAAACATCTAATCAGTTTCTAAATGATGGTATAGCTTAACATCCTTGAAGTATTTAAATAAATATCAGAAACATTCTTTTAAGAATATACTCATTATATGCTATTTCTCCTCTTAAATTACTTAAATTGAAATATAGCTTTATTAACAATAACTTTGAGATAAAATAATAAGTATTAAATAGTGATGCTTTGAGTCCTGTATAATCACTGGAACTCATCAATGTAACTTAGAGAATCTCTGTGTTTCTCCTGAAAGTGAAGTTAAAGCAAAAGTCTAGTCAGCTGCACAGAGAATAGAAAATGATTAAAGCTTGAGGTAAATATAGTCTAGAGAACAATTATGTTACCAGAGGATTTCACCAATCTTTTAGTAATTCTTATCATGTGTTATAGCAATGGACAACTCTTCAACGATAGCTGGCCTTTACCAATGACCTAAGCATTTATATATGTATTACCAAAATGTGATTTTGTGTAGTTCAAGGAATCATTTTTGTTGGATGTTTAATTTGGAGGTTTTGTTTACATTATGTCCTTAGGGGTTTTCTTTGTTTTAACAGCATGCAGCTTGACAGAAATACACTACCCAAAAAGGGACTCAGGTATATATTTCTCTCAGCACAATTGTTGCCTTTTTTCTATTGTCACATAAACTTTGTGTGCTGTGTCTCCTCCTCTTTCTTTCTTTGTTGGCAATGTAGTACTTGGCATTGAAGATGAAATCATTTTTAATCTTAATGCTTTCTCTGGCTTTAAATGTTGGTGAATTGTTTAGGTTTAGGAAGAGATAAAAGTAGACAACCAAGATGGTGACTCAAATTAATTCTTATACCTCTATCATTATTTGGAAGTAATAAGATTTATTGAAGAACTTGTCCCAGGCTTTGTTCTTGGAGGTACCAATAAATTTTGGTAGAATGCAAAATTTACTCCTCCAAATTGAGATAAAAATCACTTTCCTAGATTGCATCTTGAAGACATATGTCTGTAAAACCTCAATACCCACATAGTCTACAGATGTGGCTAGTAATGATGAAAGGTTAAAGGATAGTATAATTTGAATCAAAGAAAACATGTTTTCATCATCTCAGGATGAATACTGTAATTAATTCTGTAATTAATGAGTTTTACCAACTCAGTTTTTTAGGGCTGCTGGTATTTATTAGATCAGTTTTAAACTTGAATAAATATGATATCATTTAATATCAAACTAATCATCCCATTAATAGTAATCAAAGTTTAATTCATGTCTATAACTCATTCCCACATACTTTAATCTGAGGAGGAGCGATAGAAGCTACTAAGAGAGATTTGACACTAGGAATGTGATGGCCACTCTTTAAGGTATGACTTCTGTAACTTCTATGGTGTAGGTACTTAAGAGAAATACATATGAGAACAGAGGCCATGTAGAGCATTTGCATTTTTCACAGTGACTGCATCTTAAGGTTAACCTTTTAGGTGCTTAATAAATATGGTTGGAAAAAATGGAAAACAAAGAATTTATTCCGGAAACACAGTGAGTAATGGCCAAATGAGAACTTCCCCTATTTACTCGTTTTTTCTTTCCAAATTTAGAGCATAATCAGATGACAGTTCCCTTCACTTCAATATTTTGTTCTAAAACTTTATTTTCCAACAACATGAACACGTTTTGTTTTTTTTTCCCCATCCTTATTAAAAAAATCTAGAAATGTCAATAAGAGCCTTGTGATCAGTGTGTGTTCCATTTCCGGTGCCTTTCTGTGACCTTCGTTACACTTCCATTGGCTTCTGGCCTGCCACTGTCATGATTGTTTGTCTACGTTCTCATCCTCCTCGCATCCTTCCACGCACTGTGTTTTTGGGGCTTTCTCGGCTAATTTGGCTGACTGCTCATTGCTTATGATTTCCAACACCATATCTTACAGAAGCATAATTTTTCTTCTTAAATGCCTTTTCTTTTTCCTATGGGATTTAACAGATGGTATCAAATCATCTGCAAGAACTGAGCAATTCTAATTAGATCTAATCTGTTTGAATTGTTGTTCAGTGGGGATAGTGAGCTCCTCTCAATTGCTTTCCTGCTCTGCCATTCCCTTGCCCTGGTAGATGGGTTTAAGCGTCTCAGCTGTGCTCTTTTGCAGATATACACCATCATCTCGGCAGGCCAACCAAGAAGAAGGCAAAGAATGGTTGCGTTCTCACTCCACTGGAGGGCTGCAGGACACTGGCAGCCAGTCACCTCTGGCCTCCCCTTCTGCCATGTCATCTTCTGCCACAGGAAAATACCACTTTTCCAACTTGGGTAAAATATTCTACACTATAGATTCCACCTTGTTCATTTCAGCACCCACTCTTAGACGAACCCTTGATTTCCCTGCAAAATATATATATTACATATCATATGTATTTATGTAGTGGTTTCCTGTTGACAAAATAACTTTTAAACCTTATATTGTTACTGTCCATGACCAATGATTAATAATAATACTGTTAGCCAGGGGCTTAGCTCATACCTGTAATGCTAGCTACTCAGGAGGCTGAGATCTGAAGATCGCAGTTCAAAGCCAGCCCGGCCAGGAAAGTCCATGAGATTCTTAACTCCAATAAATCACCAGAAAACTGGAAGTGGCGCTGTGGCTCAAGTAGTAGAGTGCTCACCTTGAGGTGGGGAGCTGAGGGACAGTGTCCAGGCCCAGAGTTCAAGCCCCATGACCAAGAAAAAGACAATGATGATGATGATGATGATGATGTTAATTTGCCATCCAAACTCCAGGTTTATTTGACTTGAAAAAGTGTCACCCATTATTATGTAAAGAAGCATGGATCTGTCCCAGAACTTCTGACCTCAAGGGCAAAAAAGTTTCCATTCTAATTCAAAATCTTCCTTAAAAGTATTATAAAATCTATTTTTTTTGCTTTCAATTTTAAGGCTTTCTGAAGCAAAAATTATAATCTTCCTCTAGAGAAATAGAAAATAGAAATAATTAGATAGAAAACAATATGCTGTTTTATGATGCAGTGTAACATCTTTAATATTATTAAAATTAAAGTTGTCCTTCATATGCATATAATTGTTCTTATGAGTATAAATGAACATTTTAGACAAACTGAGAAATCATTTGATATCTTAAGTTACTGGGTTACATTATACCGACTGTCATTTTATGTAATACTGTAAACTTAATGAGATAATCTTAAATATGCTCATTATTAATAAAGTACAGTGACTCATGCCTATAGTCTTAGCTGCTTAGGAGAAATAGATTGGAAGGATACAGGAGATACAAGCTCATCTCAACAAAAAACACTTAAGTCTAGTAACATCTATCCATTGTTTCAGTTTCAGCGGAAACATTTAGTAGGATAATCCAAGGCTGGGCTAGCTTAGACAGAAAGGGAGACTCTATCTCAAAAAACAACCCAAGCAGGAACAGCTAGTTTTGTTGCTCATTTAGTAGAGTGTTTGCCTAATCCCATGTATTAGATAAGTAATATATACATACATTCATGCATATATATATATATATATATATATATATATATATATATATATAAGTTACCACTCAGTAGATTCAATGACTTTTAAAATAAAGTTACCTTCCATAAAGTCAACTTGTGAAATGGCCTTCTGTTTCTCTTTTTACTTGAGAAAAATTCTAATTATGACCCTATACATAGGCCACATTTTTTTCAGGAATTTGGACTTTTCAGATGAACTCAACAGGCACAATCTAGGCTATTTCTTATATTTCTTTTCTTTTTTTTTTTTTTTTGGGTCCGGTCATGGGGCCTGAACTCTGGGCCTGGGCGCTGTCCCTCAGCTCTTCAGCTCAAGGCTAGCGCTCTACCACTTGAGCCACAGCACCACTTCCGGCTTTTTTCTTTTTGCTTATGTGGTGCTGAGGAATCGAACCCAGGGCCTTGAGCATGCAAGGCAAGCGCTCTACCACTGAGCCACCTTCCCAGCCCCTATTTCTTATATTTCATAGTTCTTTTCACTATACCAAGTAGGACTTTTGGCAATTGAAAAGAACTATTTTGTTCATGGACAACTAATGGACAACTCCTCTTCCCCTTCCTCTACTCTCTTCCCTCCTCTCTTCTTCTTACTTCCTTCTTCTTTACTCCTTTCCTCCCCCTCCCCTGTCCTCCTTCCTCTTCTTCAGGGATGTTAGTACCAGGATTTCAACTCGTAGTTATTGGGCAGACACTCTACTAGTCATGGGCCCAGTATTCAGAAAGCATATTCTTACAAATGTCAAGATTATAGTTCTAAATCTACACAGTGATGAGATTTCTTTGTCCCATAATGTCAAAAGAAGTATTGGTTTTATTTATCTGTAGTCATAATTATAAAACACAACAAAAAGGTTAATTCTTTAACTTCAAAAAAATGAACTGAAATGTTTTTGTAAGGTCATAAGAATGGGAAAAAATCTGAAATAGACTATCTGAAATAGAATTCAAATAACCCCCAAATACTCTAGGATGATACATGGTTCCTATCGGTTATTTTTTTATCAATTGACATTAACACTTGATAATTTGACTCCTTATGTCATTTTTCTTGACCATTGTTATACTGATAAAATCCATTTATTCCATTATTCTTTGGAGGTAAATAAAACACTCCTACATTTACTATGTTTGACCTTGGTAATGTCATTAACTCTCAATGTTCTTATCTGTTGAATAAATATATACTGTCTAGGTCATGTCACAAAGAATGACTGATTAAATGTGGACAACAGTATAAGTCTTGATAGACTCAAAATCTCTTTCATTGGAGAACAATACACTATAAAATATTTTACACTGCTCAGGTACTTTTGAGCTTAGAATTTAACTGAGTGTAAGACAGTGACAGCACACTTCACTATAATGGAAAATCATGTCTTACATTTTAGAACGACTCACATTTTAGAAAGAGCCATACAAAGCTATCACATTTGAATCAAGGTTTCATTTACCAAAGCTTCATTTACACAGTGGTTTGTTCCATGCCTAAAATAACTTGAAGTTCACATTTCAACTGAAATCAACATGTTCTTGGCTACAAATGTGTTCCAAAACAACATATACCACTTGAGAATTCATTTTCTGACATAATTTTCAAGCATGAGGCATAATATGGAAACATCAGTGCTTCTTTTTCTGATAACAAACCTTCTCTGCAGAACTTCAATGATGTCCTAATAGACTTAATTTAAAAACTTAATGATCAGATATATTGTAGTACTTCCATATCCAAATTTCATCTTTCTTTTAGTCTGCCACTTCTACATATTAAAATTGTGTTAACTGATAAGTTTTAAGAAATACTGTGAAATTCAAACGTTAGAACACTGTAAAATTATCTCACTGTTAGTAGATTGCTGTAAGCTACAGTCAAGTCTGGCTATGTGGAGTTTCCATAGACAAGTAATAAACAGGAGCCATTCCCACTCAGGAAAGAATATTTGAGTATAATTTGTGTAAGCAAGTCCTTGTAAGAATCTTTGTTTTATGTTAATTATAATGAGATTAATTAATAATTGTGAGGCATCTTGTAATATGATGCATCATTGTTATATCCCCATTAATGACAACCATTGATAAGATTCACTTTGTCCTTCCCTAAAGGTTACCATGCTAACTCATTCATACAGCTATTACTTCCCAGTTCTCTCTATTTGATAACTCTTTTGCATACAGAATAATGGTTAAAACACTTTTATTCTGTTGTTGAGAAACAGTTTTTTCCTTTTCTTCATAGGCTTTCCTCCCTGGGTTAGCTTTGAACCGTGATCCTCAGATCTCAGTCTCATTGTGTGGCTAGGATTACAAATGTGAGCCACCAGCACTTGGCTTCTTTTACTTTTAAGTATTCTTTTACCATGAATACTTCTAGTTCACTCCTGTCCATAAACCTATTCAGAATGAACTCTTATTTTCTATACTCATGGAAGCATAGAATCTCACATTTGGAAGAGAGCAATCACCCATTTATTGTGTAAATTTATGGCATATTTAGTTTCCCCATAAGTCACCAATAACAAACTATTTAAATCTAGAAATAACACACTTACGAAGATCTTTCTTTCATTTTATTCATTTCCTGAATACTCAAGTATGGTCTTACTTATCTACCAGGATCCCCAAAAGTTAAATTTACATTTCATATGACCATTCTCTTGTTATTTAAAACAATTATTTAAACTCAACTCTAGTTATAGAAAAAAAGATATGAAGGCATTTAAAACTGCAGTTCACCCCCTCTGTACAGTATTTTCACAATAAAAAAATGAAACTAATCTTAACAAAACGAAAACATAGTGACAAAATTAAAAAAATAAATAAATAAAACTGCAGTTCACTATAATCTCAGTTTCTCTTCTCTTCAAATCACCAGAAACACAGTCTTTATTAAAATAATAGCTTTAATATGCATATTTAATTTATGATATCAGTAGCTCTCTTTTCCCTAGTAGACTTCTATCTCTATTACTTTCTCCTGCTTTGAAAATTTCTAGAATATTTCCTAGCTTTGAATGAACCTTAAGGATCATTTATTCTGCCTGGACACAGTCCTTGAGAATTTGTGCTCAAAGCTAGCACCTCCTTCCATATCTAGCTTCTTGTTGGTTAATGGAAGATTAGAATTTTATGGACTTTCCCACATGGGTTGGCTTTGATCTTCCTATCTCAGCCTCTTGAGCAGCTAGAACTACAAATGTAAATCACTGGCTTTGCCATTATTTTTGTTTATTTATTTTTTATTTGTCAAGAAACTGAAGAGCAGAGATTTAGATATTTGACTGAAGCAGATAGAAAGCTAAACTACTACTAAAATTATCTTTGTGGGTTTTTTGCCTTTTGTTAGGCTACTTCTCTTGTAATATCATACATATTGAATTTCTACCACGTAGGAGCCTCCCTCCTTTTGTGGTTATTCTTGAAGTAAGATACTGTATCATATTTATCTTGCCATTCAACTACACAAAAGCAGACCTCTCATAGATATTAATTTAACTGGATTTTATTAGTCTGGGTATATCATAAAAACTGTCAAAATAAATGTATTAATTGTTTTGCATAATTATTAAATAATGAAACTCATTATAAATATAACATCTCAAAATCTACTATTGATCTCATTAACATTTCACTTTGAGTAGGTAACTACTATGTTTATAAATTATAGGAAAACATTTCACTTGGCTATCTCTCAAATTATTTTGGTTACAGTTTTACAAATTCAAACAGTAAACAATATGTTCTAATTTCCAACTACATATAATAGGTAATGCACTTAAAAGTATGTGGAAAGCTTCATTTATTTTACAAGAATTAATTCATATTTTAGATCTACAATGGAATGATCTACCCGAAACCAAGTACCTTAAACAACAACAACAAAAAATGGGTCCTGATTGTTCTATAATGTACCTCCTCTGTTATTAATAAGCATAGTAAGACTAATGGTTACTACTGCTTAACAGACTCTTCTCTACCTGGTCTTTCTTTTCATTTTGCCCTTGTTTACTTATCTCCATTTTCTCCTTTCCTTTCAATGAATTATGTAGTTTGCAAATTTATAGTTTCTTCACTCTTTGTTGTATTTCTGATGTAATGTGTGGTTTTGCACACAAAGATCTGGTTTTAGAAAATGCAGGAGCACTTTCTTTTAATCTAACCCATTACAGGTTTAATCAGAGAGTTGTACTGTATAGAAATTCAAGTAATAACTGTAAAATGTACAACACATACCAAGAAAATAGGACATGCTATCCTTTTATATTAGGGATTACCCTTCCTACTTTACCTTATGGTGAAAGTTAGTAGTTTTCTTAAGAAGAAATAAACTGTCTATATAATAGGAAAAACATGGCAGATTTTTTTTAAAAATATAAATGCTAAGCCAGTGGTATATCTTCAGAGTTTTGAAGTTACTCCGTTTATTTTATAGCTCAAGAAGTTGCAGTTGTCATATTTTCTCATATGCCAATAACAAATGTGATGTCCATAAATGTGAAAGATTTAAACAAGATTGTGATAAATGTTTCTTGATTATCCTGTTTAATTTGATTCCAAAATTTAAAACTACAGGGCAATTGCATAACCCATCTTATTTTCTAAAGAATTAATGATTATCATTTGGCCTAAGAAACTAAATGATATAAAAACTATATGGCAATAGGTAACCAGACAAATTCTTATTTCAAATTGCATGTTTACAGAACTCTTTTTGAAAAACAAAATGTTTGTGACTTTTGATAGTCTCGTTCTAATATTCTTAGACCTAGAAGAGTCTAATAATTTTCTCTACTTACTACAGGACAGTATCTACCTACTTTGTACATTCTATCATATTCCATTTAAAGAAAAAGCTTGTTATTACTTAAGCTGATTATTACTTAACTTGGATAATAATTATATAATTTTCCATGAACTTAAATAAATGGTTAATTCAAAATGATTGCAAGTTTTTGCAGGTAAGGACCAAAGTTCTTCCTGAGAAAAGTAGATATTTGTATCAAAAAGCCAATATTTTCTTCATACAAGCTAGCTGAAAAACGCCATGTTGCTATGAAAATTGTTTTCATTATGGCTTTAGAAATTAGTGTACAGTTATTTTATCATGAAATTCCAAAGGGGGAAAGGGGACTCAAGGGCACCTCTCATTGATGTTTCCAAGCAGAATACTGACCTACCTAAAGTAGAGATACCCTGGAAATTCACATGTCTGTAAGAATTGGGACCAGTTCTCACTGTCCTTCAGCTTACTGTTGTCATTGCTTAAGCCCCAAGATAACAGGCTGTGTGCTTTGTTTTTCAGTGAGTCCCACCAATCTGTCTCAATTTAACCTTCCTGGACCCAGCATGATGCGTTCAAACAGCATCCCAGCCCAAGACTCTTCCTTTGATCTCTATGATGACTCCCAGCTCTGTGGGAGTGCCACTTCTCTGGAGGAAAGGCCACGTGCCATCAGTCACTCAGGCTCATTCAGAGATAGCATGGAAGAAGGTAAGCAGGGGGCATGGGAGAATGAAGTTACTTCATTTAATTCTGAAAGAAAATCTGTGCCATTATTCATAGCACAAAGATTCCTGAAGAGGAAATAAATGAGCAAGCATAATTCTCATTTGTGGTCCCCTGAAGCTTGAAGATGTTTTATTCTGCTTTACCTTCTGTTTCATTATGCTTTTGGAAAAATGCCAGACATTTTTTTTTAGGTTATTTGGCTCTAGAGCAATTTGGAATAAATCTAATGTTCTCATATAGAAATATGTATAGTCTTAGAGACCTTTAACCAGATGAGTTAAGTATTACAGCAAATGTTTTGTTAATACCGCAATTAAAAAAATAAAGATAGGTTAAACAGTGAAAATTACTCTATGAAGCTATCGTATCTTGCTGATTTTACTTTTACAAATGCAAATTGGTATCAGTGTTTTGATCATAGAAGTTTAGAATTCATATTATATCTATATAAGGCATATTTTTGTATCCAATGGCAATTCAGCCTACATCTGACCTAGAAAATAATTTTTTTTTTTTTTTGGTTGGTCATGGGTCTTGAATTCTGGGCCAGGGCGCTGTCCCTGAGCTCTTTAGCTCAAGGCAAATGCTCTAACTTGAGCCACAGCAATATTTCTGATTTTCTGATGGTTAATTGGAGATGACTCATGGACTTTTCTGCCTGGGCTGGCTTTGAACCATGATACTCATATCTCAGCCTCCTGAGTAGGTATGATTACGGGGGTATGTCACTGGCGCCTGGCTTAGAAAATACCTTTTATTTGTATGTTACTACTTTAAATAGGTCTATTGAAACAGCTCAGAAAGTTTAATAAGTTTTCAAATGAGCATATTTTTCCAATGTATGTATTATATCAAGCTTGCCAATAATAATTTCAGAGACTTTGAAATTTAATTAATGAAATAAATTACTCATAGAAGAAGACTGTGCCTTACATATTATAAAGCATGTCAGGTAAGGATAAAATAGAACTCATCATAGAAATTCAAAGCAGCTTGAGTGAAATCAAACATGAAATCTGCCATACTAGTTTAGTTCTTAAGAGCTATGCATAAAAGAAAAGGCCCAAATTTTGACGCATTCCAAACGTTAAGCCTCTGACTTTTCACTTATTTGTAGTAAAACCTAGTGTACATTTTTCTTAACCTATGAACCCTAATTTTCTTAACTTTATAGTTTAATCACAAGGGTGAAATGAGAATCAAGAATAGCTTTGTCCTCTCTCTTTTTCTCTTCTGCTGATTTAAAATGTCAGCTAGGAGAATGAACTCATAGTTTTCAGATTTGATGTATTGACACTAAATTGGTTGACCACTTTTTCTGTTCTTTTTGAAATATTAACCAAACCACTCAGCTTATTACAGTTATAACAGTTAATGAATGATATACCCTTGGCATGTGTTGATTGTTGCAGTGTGGCAGACAAACTAATCTGAAATATAAAATCATTGTTTTCTGAAAAGATTCTGTCATGTTCTGTACACGGGCCTCCTATAGTACTTCTAAACAAATTTGCTAACCATAACAATGGTTTTCTCAAGTGCCTTGTTTACAAATAAATGATGGTTTCATGATGGTGAATTCTGACCTTGTATACTAAGGTTAAATCATTTGAATTGCTGAAAATCAGCCTGAGTGGGAGAGATGGCTTTTTGATGCTCATTCATCAAATACTGAATTATTGTTCCTCTTCAATTTGTGATCTAGAATTAAGGGGTGATTGAAACAGACCTAGGGGATTTTTATTGGTAGCTTGCTCAATGCTCATATGGATAAATGAAGACACTAAGCCTCAAACTATAATCACATAGACCTATAAATAATAAATGGAAGAAAATGATAAAAATGAGATTTCCTGATTCACAAGACTAACAGGCTTCACATTTCTTCAACCCCAGATTTATTACAGGTCAAAAATAGGCCTTCTGAAAAAAATTGATTTGAAGATATTGCACATCTAATCGAGCAGTAGGGTAGTAGTTGCTGAAATTGGAAATCTTCTGTTGACCAAAATTTATGTACTAATGTTTTTTTTTTTTTGTACTAGTCTTGGGGCTTGAACTCAGGGCCTTGGTGCTTTTCCTGAACTATTTATGCCTACGGCTAGCACTGTACCACTTGAGCCATAGCTCCACTTCTGTCATTTTTGGTAATTGATTGGAGAAAAGAATTTCACCAATTTTCCTGTATAGGCTGGCTTCAAACCACCATTCTCAAATCTCAGCCTCCTCAGTAGCTAGGATTACAGACATGTGCCACCAGAGCTATGCTTGTTTAATAACCATTTTTAAAAAGGTATTTTTGAGTATTTCTCAAATCAGCACTTTATCATCTATACTGTGGTAATCCCAGAGAAGTTTTCCTAGCCTCTGCCAGCCCAACTTCAGTGCCTCTTGTGTGCACCTTTAGTAACCAATGCATTAATCTCAACTGCTTCTATATGACTGTTGGCAATTGTCTCTTTACTTTTATCTACCACTTCTGTGAACACCGAAAATATATCTTAGTTAGTTGATATTCCCAGGATCTAGCAGAGGCTTCCTACATTGCAGTGTGCTCAGTTTGTTTAAGGGATGAAATTGAAGAAAAAAATGTTCCATAGGAACAATGGAAAGAGATTTTCTACAAATAAAGTTGAACATAATTGATCCATTGGTTACATTAACACATTTGTAGTTCAGAAGCAGGCTTTCAATTCGCTGATAACAAAATTTGTATTTTTTGTGCTGTATCTAAAAAGCAATCTGCAATTTCCCTCTTAATTTTTGTGAGACACCATCTTGAAATAGAAATATTTTTACATTACTAGAATTTCTAAAGAAACAATCATTCTGAATTTAAAAGGACATGATCAGTTTATCATAAACAAACTTGGAATTTGCATAAAACCATTTCTTGAAAAATCTGCAGATGATTTTTGTTGTCTAAGAATTAACTTAAACATGTAATGATTTTTAAGTTTAAAAAGTTCATGACAACTTTTCTTTATTTGGGTTGCCCTGATTTTCTCCTTGCTGTACAAGAAATTTTTGTTTGCTTGTTTGAAACCAGGATTCAAACTCAATACTGACACTTTTGTTCACTCGCTAGTTCTCTACTGACTTGGCCCACATGTGCAATCCAAATCAGAATTTTCTATAGCTTGCACTCTATGAAAAACATGTTTCTGGTGCTCATGTTTATCAAATACTTTCAGTCATTTGGTGAAGTTACTACTTTATGGTTGGTGTTTGGGGGTCTTTCCTCATCCTAATATCTTGGTTTCCAAAATTTTATAGCAGAATTGGTCCCAGAATCTAAAAACTAACAGCTATTATTTCATTTTTCTGGTAACTTTTTCTGTGCTTTTTCAGGAAAGGCCTAGAATTTATGAGTGGAGTTTATTAATTCTACTGTCCTTGGTTTTGTTTTGTTTTTTAGTTCAAGGAAAGGCCTAGAATTTATGAGTGGAATTTATTAATTCTATTGCCCTTGGTTTTGTTTTGTTTTTTAGTTCATGGCTCTTCATTATCACTGGTCTCCAGTACTTCCTCTCTTTACTCAACGGTAAGTGTTGGCTGTTGAGAAAAAGCTGCTTCCTATGTCCTGCTCACAGATGACAATAGATTGGCATTTGTACAGAAGTTGAGTAGCACATTACAGTATGGGTAGATCGGTATATTTTCACCACTGTATGTCCAAATTTTCCTGAAGCCCACTTGTAACTGCTTTCATATGACTTTTCTACCTTCATTATAATCAGATAAATGAATTCAAAACTGAGTTTCAAAAAGGTACTAGAATATTGTGCTCTTCCCGAATTTCATAATGTTGACATATTTTCCTGCTTTGAGTCTCTGACCCATGGCTTTTAATCGTTCTGCTGTGTAAAATTACAGTTCATTTTGGCAAAATGAATTTTTCTTCAAATGAATATAATTTCATCTTTTTATAAGCTACTCTAGAGGAAGTCATGATTTGTGAGAAGTTTCAGTAAAGTAGCTTAAAAACAGTTTACTGAGTCTCGAAGTATCTTGATTACGATGTAGTCCTTAATCCTGTATGGAAAGTCTCATAAAAAGGTTTCAGCCTTCAGCTGTCATTGAACAATGAAGCATGAGTAACAATACTTATTTCCACTCATTTTTCATTAGGCTTCAATGTTACAGCCTTTGGTTTTTAAGTTAATCTTATATATCTGTTGTCATTCAAGATTAGACTATTGTTGCAAATCTGATGTTCTTCCTGTTTCTCTTTTTAATGATTACAATTGCGATTAGGTTTTGTAAATGAAGACGTTACTATTACTATTCAGCTACCATTTTAGTTTAATGGATAAAGTAGTAAGGACTATTAAAATGTTTGGAAGTAACATATAGCAGAAAATGGTTAAAGTTCAGTGTTCTTTCCTGTTGGGTCACTGCTGTCTGCTCCTTGGGAAGTTGTTGAGATGATATGATCAGAAGATGTAGCATCAGAAGTAGAGGTGTAGTTCAAGTGATAAAGTACTAGGCTTGATTGAAAAAGGCCCAAGAGTAAAAGGCCCTGAGCTCGAGCCACAGTATGGCAAGGGAGGGAGGGCAAGAAAAGAAGATGCAGCATCAGTCTAGTCATGTTTTAAAGAAATAATAATAAGAATATTTGGATAAAACTTCATGAAGCCTAAGACTCAAGAAGTGAAAAAACATACATGATTAATTACTCTATATCAAGGTCTAATAGATCTTTTGGTAGTAGTAAAATATTTCATATTTGCACAATCCAGTGAACACTAACCTCATGTTACTATTGATTATTTGAAAAATGTTTGTTGTAAAGAGGACCTGATTGGTTTTTATCTTAATGGATCATTTTTAAAGAATACATATTGCTAGAGATTAGTAGATTGCACAGTACAGATTCATAGGGAGCTAATAGTATTTAAAAACCTGGAGCAGGATAGAGTAAGGGAAGTTAGATTTGATAAGTGAACACTATGTTTTGCAATACCCCATTGAATTCCAACAACAATATATACTTAATACATGTTAATTAAAAATACAGAGTAATGGAATAAAATATTTTTAATCAGAGACAGGATCAAAATATCTCCACAGTAAAACTAATTAGAAAGCCTAACTACAAAGTACTACATTGAGGGTATATGAATGTCATTAGATTAAAATAAAGAGAATTTATATGCATAGGCCAACATGTAGAACTAGACTAGACATTTGTGCTGTGGAAAACAGTGAGTTAAATGATGAAGCTCTATGAGAAAGCGATATTACTAAGTGACCAATAATTAAGTTAACTAAATTTGTATTAAATTAAAATTGTATTAAAATGATGAAAATTAAAATACATTAGGAGTGGATATGACATAGTTTATTCACAAATAATCTGTATTAAAGCAATTCAAATGAATAAATATTTGGAGACTAAAGAAAGAGGAAAATCAGAAATTAGAAACTGTCATTCTGTCCCCAATCCCCATAATTATACATTAAAATTAATCTGGCATGAAGAAGATATCTGTGCAAATGCTTTTTAAACTATGAAGAAGAAAGCAATTTAGTGATATTATATATTCTGTAAGATTCTTTTTTTCTTCCAGAATGAGGTTGCTCCCCAGATATAATGATGCACACAGGTCATTTTCTGGCATTTTGTGACACAGCATGGGGGTAGGGGGGGAAGAGCTTGGAGTTTTCTCTAAGTGAGGCAAAAGCCATCCTATGAGTTTCTATGGAAACCTTATCTTCAGAAGCTGCAAAGCAAAGCCATTGAGCAGACACTTTTATCACTGCATTCACACTGAAGTGTTGGTGTTTTGCTGTCTTGAAACCATTACACTTGAATAGTAGTTACTAAAGAAAATAAATTAGGAGCTATTCATCTCTAGTTTCTGTGGTTCTTTTTTATTTTCTAAGCATTTTTATGGTTGTATCAGAGGTTGCAATTTAACACGTCCAATATTATATCTAGAGCTTCCTCTATAGCAGTCAACTGCTTCCATCATTCTCTACCCAGTCCCATCTGTTCCTTTCCCCAGAGTCATTTTGCATTTATCACTTGTGGATACCAAGTATTCTGGCTAGATGTAATGCCCCCTCTTCCTTTTTTATTCATCCCATTTCACGAGGCTCCTTCTGTCATTTTTCATAGAGGTCAATACTTCCCCTGGTTTTATGTGGAATTATGTTTTGGGTAAACATATCCACAATTTCTTGGGGGTACATTTTCTGTATCTATATGTCATATCATGTTATAGTGATTTGGTGGGGTTTTTCAGTGGTTTGTTTTGGTTTGGTTACTGTGTAAATCTTAATGTGTTTTAATTCTATCCTTTCTTTAAAATATATTTGTAACTATAACTATCTTATGTTTTAAATGTGATGTTCATTTGAATTGTATGGTATTTTGGTTTTACAATATTAAATTAATAATCATGTATCTTTCTCTGTTCTTACATTTAGATGATAAAAACATTTTAATATATTTACAACTATCTTATGCATTCATATATGTTTCATGAATTGATACTGATCTTTTAGTTAAGATTCTTTTTCTTTTTACCTTTTACAGGCAGAAGAAAAGGCTCATTCAGAGGTAAAGGCCTGTAACATGTTTATGTTTGCTTATTTTAATTTCCACTTCTGGTGAGTGTTGGTACCACTAGAGGGCTCTGTCATACAATTGCATAACTGCCCGAAACAGAAGTAGCCTAGTGAGTCTGTAAATAGCCTTAGATACTGCCACTAAAGCATAAATACAGTGAAGTTTTAACAGCAAGCTCTCCTCTCACATTATATATTTAGTCTTAGCTCAACACCTAACAAGTTGTCTGTAGTTGTAGGAAATCATTAAATCATTGTGGAATGAATAATGTGTAAATAGGAAGAACATAGGACCTATAATAGATCCCTTTTGGAAAAAGCACTTACTTTATTGTATTTGACTGATTTTATATATGTGTACATGTATGCATGTATGCCTACCTATACATGTATATGTATAGCACAAGCTACATGGAACTTATTATTTAGCCCAGCCTGACTTTGAACTCAATCCTCCTGTCTCCTGCCTCAGCCCCCTGAGTTCTAGGATTACAGAGTATCCATCACCACACCCATCTTTTTGTGGATTGTAGAAACTCAATTTGGAAAAGCCTTTTAAGGTTTGTAAGAAGAAAATAGCCTTGAGTAAAAAAGCTAAGAGATATCTCACTAGCTTTGAATTCAATCCTCAGCACTAGCATCCACACACACCAAAACAATTCACAACAAAATAGCTAGGTAAGCAAACAAGAGGATAATTTGAGTAATTATTTTATAGTTTGAGCTAATAAATGTAACTGTAAATTTGTATCCAATAACAAAAATGAATATATTAGATGTTCTGCTTAAGGCAACTATTTGCAATCATCATTACATTCAGATTTTAGTTGGCAATACTCAGTTCAAAATATAGAACTGGAATGGAGTCATATTTGGAAATATATATATATATATATATATATATATATATATATATATATATATATATATATACCTATCTTTGCTTCCAGCTAAGAGTTTTCTTCTTCTCAGAGTCTCTCAACATTGACCTCCATTTCTTTTCCACAAATGTATTGTGAAGAGTGTAAAAAGAAAGTTAATGAGCTATGTCTAGAATGTTCTTTCAAACCAAGACATTTCAATAGCCCAATTCAAACAATAGAGCACTTGTTGTTTTTGAAGAAATACGAAAAGAAGCAAAACAAAAAACATCAAATTAAGTGCTGGGTGTCTTAATTGAATTTTCTTGACCCAGAAATACACTTGTAGAATGTGTTTCTATATGTGTGTAAAAGTTTTACCTTACTTATTATTTACATTTCCTTGCAACATAAAAAGTCTTAAATTAAAAACTATATTGTTTGTACCCATTGCTTAATCTCAGAATGTGGACACGTGAGATTTTGTTGCTCAAGGGGAGTGCCCTATCACTTAAACCACAGCTCCACTTCCAAATTTTTGCGGGTTAATTGGACATAAGAGTCTTAAGGATCTGGGTTGACACTGAACAGTGATCCTCAGATCTCAGTTTCCTGAGTGGCTAGGGTTACAGGTGTGAGCCACTGGAACCTGGTCCAAGTAAAACTTTTAAATGTGGTATGCCTCTTTCTTTAGTATTTAGCTTTTTTGGGGGGCGGGGGAGGGGGTCTGAACTCTGGGCCTAGGCGCTGTCCCTCAGCTCTTCAGCTCAAGGCTAGTGCTCTACCACTTGAGCCACAGCGCCACTTCCGGCTTTTTTCTTTTTGCTTATGTGATGCTGAGGAATTGAACCCAGGGCCTCAGGCATGCAAGGCAAGCGTTCTACCACGGAACCACCTTCCCAGCCCCTAGTATTTAGCTTTTTTAAGATGTGAATTTAACTAAAAAGAAAAACACTTTAGAATATTTATTTTGTTGGTTTAACTAGTTAGTTGCACAATAATATTGATGTTTCTCTCTTATCTTTAAATTGTGGGTATCTACAAAGCATTCCTGATCAGAGGTAGTAGCAACTCAATGAATAAAGGAATTCTAATAAGTATTTGGAAATCTTCTCTGGTTATCATTAGAATTCTATCATATAAATTTACTTTCTATATGATACAGTAACATATACCTGTAATCTCAGCCCTCAAGAGACTGAGACATGAGTTCAAGGACAGCCTAGAGTATGTAGGGAAATGTGAAAACAAAAATAATTTTCAAATATGGACTTACTAAATTTTGAATGATACTCAACCTTCACGTACCATAGGATATATTCTATGGTTGCCAGAGGATAGACAATGAAAATATATACAGTGAAAATGTCTGAGAATTTTAGGAAAATAACATGGAGTACCTTTGGCTAAAAAAGAGCATAAAAACATGCAGATAAAGTATGTAAAGTTTACAAAAAATTTTCCTACCTGAATTCTAACCACAATTTTCCAGAAAAGAAATGAATCCACAGAAAAAGTAAATTAGTAGCCAGTTATGTCATACCATGGGGGCTAACAGAACAAATTAGATTCCTTAGATTTGCAGCTTTGAGTTCTGAGGTTGAGTGTAGAGACTAGTCTTTTTCCTTGGATGTGAGACTGAAGGTTAAAAAGCAGCTTTTGGTCACATCCCTTGTTTTTAGGTATTAGAACCAGGAAGGAAATTGCAAGCAAAGGTTAAACACACTATTTGCTTTCTTACCAGAGTTCCCACTTTTAAATAATAATTTATTGGCTTTCATTTTGTTTTGTTATAACTGCCTACAGCAAATCCATAAGCTAAGGAGAGAGCTGGTTGCATCACAAGAGAAAGTTGCTACTCTTACATCTCAACTTTCAGCAAATGTAAGTCACTTTTAATTTTTTAATAAATCATTTTATATAATGAATAAAGCATTTTATGTAAGGAAATGGAATCATTTTATTACCATCTTCCCGAGTTTAAGTGTCTGAAACAATACAGGTAGAAGTGAACAGTGGGTGTCCTATGAGGTTAACGCTTTCTGCTCATTCAGTGATAAAATGATGATCCAAGTTCATGTGGGTCACAATGTATTTAAAATGTCTTTTTGTTCCTTGTAAGATTGAAACAACAGTAAAGGTTACAATGAGTTTTCTTCTCTTGTTAAAAAAAATTTTTGTCACTCTTATGTGTAAGTTTCTCATCACATCTATTGGAAGATAAAAGGTTCATGTATGCTGCCTCCTCCAGCTATATGTAAGGAGCAATTAGTGAAGCATGTCATTAATTCTTTAAAAAAATAAACCTTAACTTAAATATGGATGATGAAGCTACATGATAGATGAGAAGGTTTTCTACAAAAACTATGGCAGGCTCCAAGAACAGTTTAAAAGAAGACACTTTTGCTCACACCAAAACAGCTTAGAATAGAAAAATAATGACAATAAAAACCATCAATTATATTAACAGGCATTTAAATACATCCTGCCAGAGAGTTCTCAGAGTAGAGGCAGAATAATAAAGGAAAGCATGTGGCATTGAGCCCAGACCTAAGGAACAGAAGAGTTGGAAGCATTGGGGGAGTGGGGGAAGGGGTGGGCTCCTGCTATTTTTCCATATGCGCTTAAGCTCTAGCTCAACACTGATTTGCTCTCTTCTGCTGTGACGCTTTCGACTCTTCTCTGTCCTTACTATCACTATCTGTGCTTCTCCATGGAGATTGTCTTTCTCAGAGACAAAACATGATATACCAAAAGTATGCAACAACAAAATGAATGCATATGCTTTTAATGAGAGACATTTGTAGAGCAAAAATATTTTGTAAATTAAGTTCTGAAGGAAATGTTATCTGACCAGGTGTTCATTTTTACCACTATATTTGAATTTTTTAATATTGAGGTAGTTATGTGAATTATAGATTATGTCATTTTTTAGATAGTGTTAGTGTACATATTTCACAATTTTTAAAATAAGGGTCAAAATATGAATGGGATATGGACCTAGGATCATTTGTGTGGTTTCTGAGAGGGAGGTGATACTATTCTTTGTCAGTGAAAAAATTTTCAACTATACAATCAGGTATTTCTAGAGTATTATTTTCTCAAAACTGTTAGCAAATACGAATGTAGAATTCTCAGGGTTTTATGCATATGTATGGTGTCATGGGGCTTGACTGACTGAAAAGTAAGAAAGAGGGAGAGAAAAAGGAAAGTAGGGAGAGAGGAAGAAGAGAGAGAAAGAAAGAGAAAGAGAATAATGTGATAGCAAGAGGCCCAGAGCAAAGAAGAGAAGATAAGAGAGAAGGTAAGACATATCAGAGAAGGCAGTAGAACACGTAAATAAAGAACGGTCTGACAGATTGAAATTTAGTAGACATAGCCTCTTACAAATTATGTTTTTCTCCTTATATAGTATTAAGTAAAGAAAATCATCTCAGAATGAGTTTGAGTTCAGAGCTAGGAACAAAGACACCTTTAAATCATTATGTTCATTGAAGGAACTTACATATTCTTTTACCAATAGTGCAATAAATTTCCAGAGCCCTGAGTCCTAGGCCTATATTCTATTTAATAGAAGGATGCCCCAGCTTTCCAGCTCCGTTACCACTTACAAAGATACGTGTTCTACTTGTGCCCTTCTGCTCATGCCCTTCCCTCTGGGTCCTTTTACCAAGGTTTATCAAATTTGGCCATGTAATGTATGAAACTATAATTGTGCTTCCAACCCTGGTGAAAGACCAAGGCATCTCCTTGATATTCAGTGTTCAAGCTGTCCCAGAATGGCATGTGAACAGAACCAGCCTGTTTTCGAGCTGAATTAAGACTGTCAAACACTTCTCAGTCACACCAGTTATAGTTGTATATTGTGATGTGCATAATTTTTCTGAAATTTAAAATACCCCCTCCCAACTCCACAAATGTTTAATGTTAAATAAAATATGACTGAATAATTATCTCTCTGACTGGCCTACCTTGAGTTCCTTAGTGAAGGAAATAAAGAGCAGGAAGCAAAGCCCTTTTATGAAAGAGAATGGAAAGTGAAGACAAATCTCAATTCAGTTCTTTGTAAGTAGAAAAAAAGGAAAGTTAGCATTATAGCTGTCAGCAGATGTCTGGCACTTGAAGAGAGAATATCATTATAATGGGAGAGCTAACAATATCTTCAAAGGTCATCCTAGAAGTCTAAAAATGAGCAACATTTGTCCATGGACTACTTCCGTGACCTCCTTTTGGTCTTTCTTGCTAAAAATGAGGCAGCTCAGAACTTTATTCAGTATTTTGGTGTCAAATGCCTGTCTGATGTGCAAGTCAGAAGGTGTTATTATTTTCAAAATACCATCCCCTTTTGGGGGGATGAACTCACATTAAATGTCAAGAGATGCAAACACTGATCTTTAAGAACCCAAAGTTTAGAAGATTTTTGTTAAAGGAAAGTCACGGTAGAGAGCTAACCAGGATGGCCCTGGTACTTTCAGAGTTAGCACACCTGAACTTCAGCATTTTGCAAAGTAAAGGGATTTCATCTGTCCAGATGAATTCCTGACATTTTAAATGTGTTTCTTCCATTTTCTTCACAGGCTCACCTCGTGGCAGCTTTTGAAAAGAGTTTAGGGAATATGACTGGCCGATTGCAGAGTCTAACCATGACAGCAGAACAAAAGGTATGATATCGCCAGTGAGGCTTGAAAGGAAACAGCTTCTCTCATAGCATGATTAAATAATACCTAAGACAGAGACTCTTGAAAACCATCCTATCTTATCCATTTGGTGCTGAATTAGAGCCATAGGGTAATGCTTTTACTTTTCAGATTTTCATTTAAAGACATGATCTGATTAACCTAAATGGGAGTGCACATGTGTGTGTGCACACACACGCACACACACACACACACACACACACACACACACACACACACACAAAACAAACATATACAATATGCTTGTGTGTCAGTACTGGTATCTGAACCTAGGATCTGGGTGTTGTCCTTTAGCTTTTTCACTCAATGCTGGCGTTCCATTTCTGGCTGATTGATGGTTAATTAGAGATATGAGTCTCACAGACATTCCTTCCTTGGCTGGCTTCAAACCAAGATCCTCAGGTCTCAGCCTCCTGATTAACTTAGAATTGCAAGCACTTACCACTATTTCTCAGCCCTCCACATGGATTTTATGACACTCATATATATATTTGTGCCTCATATACATACATGTGTATATATAGATACATATGCATATGTATATAGATACATGTGCATATTTACACATATGTATATGCATATACATATGGAAAATGATTGTAAAATATTTTTTTTGGGTCCAGTTATGGGGTCTGAACTCTGGGCTTGGGTGCTGTCCCTCAGCTCTTCAGCTCAAGGCTAGTGCTCTACCACTTGAGCCACAGCGCCTGTAAAATATATTTTAAACATAGGACCTTGATACTGTAAACACTACTCAATACTGTGTGCATATATATATATAACTATATATGCATATACATTTACACACATATACACATATTCACACACAAAATGATTAATAAAATATGTTTTAAAAATACATATTCAGCATATAGAATATATTTTAGAATATATGGCACTCTTGGCAAGTATAATAGGAAGCTAACTCATGAAGAAACAATAATGAAGGTGACTGCATGGTTTTCTGATATGCCATGAAAAGGATTAACTAAACTGTAACCCAGGTCCTGATCTCCTGGCTTTGCCCTTCATCAATCACATGGCATTACTAGGATGAAGTGGCATCAAGATTTTAATTTGATTTTTTTACATCAAAATGACTCCTTCCAATAGGATCCTAACATTTTTTCTTATTTCCAAATGCCAAGAAACATTGATTGTCTTTCCAAAATATGGCTTTCCTATGCTTAGCACCCAGGAAGAAAGCAAAGACATATATGAATAACTCAAAAGTCAGGAAATGATTATACCATTGGAAGCATGCAATACCATGAGCAGGTCAGAGAAGATCCACCCATCTCCATGGCAGATTCCAAGGGAAGATAGCAAGAGGATAATCTCATCTTTGGGAGGGTGGAGAGTATTAATTCAGAGGAAATGTACAAATGTACTTCACAGAGGCAGAATCAGCCTGCTCATGAGCAACAGAGGACAATTATGTTAGTCATCATTCAAGGAATTGGTCAGAATTTGCTCACAAAGTGCCAGTTGAGAAAGGTTATGATAAAATCGCTACAATAGAAAAAAACTGACAAATATATTTTTCTTCATTCAATCTTTACAAAACCACTGCTAAACCATTGTGCTCAGATTTTCTGATGTTCTTTTCACTAATATTGAGGAATTGAAAATTGAGAGCATTCAAATTGGTTCCCTCTAGCTGTCCTTCCAGGGACATTAAATGAACATATATATTAAGGTTCCCTTGATTATTATTGATGAAAAGATTAGTATAGGACAGAGAAATATCTTCTTTTCAGGTATGTTAAGCCTCCTCATTTTTCACCCTGTGAAATACCTTTGTCAGTAAATAGTTGTAGATGAACTTAAACTTTACAAAAGAGGACATGCTGGGTGCTGGTGGCTCATGTCTGTAATCGTAGCTACTCAGAAGGCTGAGATCTAAGGATCGCAGTTCAAAGCCAGCCCAAGCAGGAAAGTCCATGAGACTCTTATCCCCAATGGACCACTAGAAAACTGGAAGTGGTGCCGTGGCTCAAGCAGTAGAGTGCTTGCCTTGAGCTGAAGAGTTGAGGGACAGCGCCCAAGGCCAGAGTTCAAACCTCATGACCGACCAAAAAAAAAAAAAAAGAGGACAATCAAAGCCAAATCTTTGAAAGCAGAAAATGCTGAAGCTAAGAATTGAGTCAAGTTTGGTCTTTATATTATCTTTTCTCATTTATCATCTACAAAAGTTTTGAAAATACAACTCAAGAGAAATAGACTGAGAACATAGGTAACTAGTAGGAAATGATGATGATGGAATTTGAATGTTATCAAAATACATTATTTACATCTATGAAAATAGAACAACAAAACCTGAGGGAATTGTTTTGGGAAGGAGACAGGGAAAATGATAGGGAGGATGAGATTAATTTGAATATAATATCAAGGTGTGTGGAAATGTGACAATGCAAGCCCCTCCCCGATAACTAATGTAAGCTAATAAAAACTACATCTGTATCATCAACTGACATATCTATTCATCGCTAGGGCATAAGATAATATGAACCTGGGATCTGGTAGTAAATTAGCAAGATTTCAAGGCGAATGCAAAGAAAATGGAGGGGAAAGGAATGTGTTCAAGGAAGCCACAGCAAGTTAATGCAGAATTAGCTGGATGTTAATGGGAAGTAGAGAGAAAGCATTTAAATGGAGAGTTTTGAAAGCCCTGCCTAGAAGCTCAGGTTGTTTGATGGGATTTGTTGACAAGCTTGTTGGTTGGTTTCTTAGTGAGGCCTTCAAAGTGAAAAATTTGTAGAGAGCCCAGGTATAATTGGAAAATCACATTGGAAATAACATCAAGAAAAGCTAAGATTGTGACACAGATTTGATTCTTTTTTTTAAAGCCTTCAGACTGTGATCTTTAGAACTTTTTTTGGGTCTCAGACACATGTGTGAAACTGCTCAGAGAAATAGTGATCATCTCTTAACATTCTGTATTAAAAATGTCCTAGAATTTCAAATATCCAGCAGGGTTTAGGGTCTCATGTCATGATTAAGTTTTACTAAAGGAAGTGAGAAGAATCAGCAAAGTAAGATCTGATCAGTGCTCCTAAGACCCTTTCAGCATTAGCCATTTTCTGCCTTTCCTTTTGTGTCTAATGATGAAAGTAGGAAATTGGATACCACTGAATTAAGGAGTAGCCTGTCTTTAAATCTACAGCTTAATGGCATATACATTTCCTGGTGTGAGTGTGTGTGTGTGTGTGTGTGTGTGTATGAAAACTATGGGGAAATTATTTCTTCACCTCAGTCATCTATATACTTAAAATGTTTTATGTTCATCTCTATAATTCTGTTCAGAAAAGCAAACTTCATTGCTATTCAAAAGTGATCATTGTACTTCATATCCATACAAAACAATGCTCAAAAGGAACTATACTCATTACCTTGCTCATGTAACTGTAGCCTCTCTGTACAGCATTTTTACAATAAACATACAAAAATTATATTTATAATAAGGAGTAGATTTTGAAGTTTTTAAATAACTCTCTCTAAGGGATGAGAGACTTTCTTATAAAGAAGAAAAGTTGTACATAATAACATTGAAGATTAATATTATTCTTTGAAAGGGAAATGCATCTTTTGGACACTTGAGCAACACCATCCTCACATTTGCTGAGATCAAAAATCACTTGAAGGGGCTGGGAAGGTGGCTCAGTGGTAGAGCGCTTGTCTTGCATGCATGATGCCCTGGGTTCGATTCCTCAGCACCACATAAGCAAAAAGAAAAAAACCAGAAGTGGCGCTGTGGCTCAAGTGGTATAGCGGTAGCCTTGAGCTGAAGAGCTGAGGGACAGCACCCAGGCTCAGAGTTCAGGCCCCACGACCGGACCCGAAAAAAACCAAAAAGCACTTGAAAAGATCTACTTCTCAAACAACTGAATAAATATTTGAATGCACTAAATTGGAGTCACACACAATGGTCTTTCTATTTGTTTATGATGAGGTGTAAGAGAGAGGTAGTTAAAGCAAGGGGGGAAAGCACATGAAAAAACTCAGAAAGAAGAGATGGTGGGTAGTAGCTGGAATGACAAGGAATGAACATCTCATTAACAGACCTAAGATAGTAGGCAGCAGATTCAAACAGATATGCCAATCAGTACAGTTTAGCTATCTTTCATTAAACACTGTGGAATATACTAAGGTTTTTGCTTATACTTCTAAAGTACTTTTAAAAAGAATGACTAATTCAGCTGGACTAATTTTTTCACAGATGTTATCTTTCCCTAGACATACAGTAAAGGTATTTCTTACCTAGTTAATTTTCCTGTAGGATTACTGAGACATACCATGTTAAAAACAGCCTGTTAATATCCGTTGTTTGAGAAAAGAACTTTTAATAGTCCTTCCTCTAGGTCATATCAAGTACAGTATTGTAAATGGCAACATTTCCTGAACATTCTATTTTTAATCATTTATTTGAAGTTTCTAGAAAAGATTTAAGTGAAGTAAGCCAGGCCCAAAGAAACATAGGTCCCATGGTTTCCCTTATTTGCAATAACTAGTATATGTCTGAGTCAAGCAAAAAAGGTCAGATAAGTTGATGTTAAACAAAATGAACCCCAAGATAAGGATTCAATTTTTTTTTCTTTCTGGCTATTGTTTCTAACATATTTATAAGATGATTTCTTTGTTGCTTTGTATGTCCCTCCCCAACAGTATAACCCCTGTTTTCACTGTATTTGATGTTGGTATAATTTGTGGAGGGGAAGGTAAAAAACAAATGATTTAAATAGGGAGAAAGGTTGACCCATTGCAACAATGAGATGTACAAGATGTTATGTCGAAAATGAACTTTACAACTTTGGCATGGGGTTGGGGGAGATGGGAAGGGATGGGAAGGGGAAACAAAGGAGGAGGCAACAATGCTTGATAAGAAATGCACTCATTACCTTGCCCATGTAATTGTAACCCTTCTCTACATTATTTTCACAATAAAAAAAAGAAAGAAAAGATTTTTCCTGATGAGAGTAAAATTTTGACATAGAAATGAGTAAGCTTGCTCAAAATTAAGCTCAGCTTTTATATATTTGTATAAGATCTCATTCACATTGTTGTTCATTAAAAATATAGCCAAATATTTTAGCAGGCTTTTAATCCACAGTATAAGCATCATTGATTTCAAATTAAAGGATGAAAATCAGACTTTAATTAAAAGTTAACATGCATCCTACTGTTTGCTTCAGAAAATTAATATTTATATTATCAGATTCACTAATTCTTATGAAAGCCGATTTTATTTCTAGTCGACATTATCTCATACAGGGTTATTTTAAATGGCAAATGAAGATAGATAATTTACTTTGGCTATCTTGCTTTTTGAATTTAGGTTAGTATTGTCATTAGATAGTCCCATATATGAATCAGGTTTTTTTTTATGAAGAAAATCCTTAGCATTTGTCCTATATTCTGGGGAACATTTAGTAAGGATAAACTATTTACCATGAGGTGAAGAGCTCAAGGCTGATTATTTAGTTTTCTGAAAAAACAACTAGAGAAAGTGATGAATGACAAATACGTTCCCAAGGAATTCTACTTCTAAGAAGCAGACAGGGATGTAATTTTTTAAGAATGCATCACCTTCAAGAAAAGTAACCTTCTGGGCACATAGTGCAATCCTGTAATCCCAGCACTATTGCTTTGAGAGTTGCAAGTGCAAGTTCAAGGTACATTAAGTGATGGGAAGGTGGCTCAGAGGTAGAGTGCTTGCCTGTTATGCATGAGGCCCTGGGTTCAGTTCCTCAGCATCACATAAGCAGAAAAAGCCGGAAGTGGTATTATGGTTCAAGTGATACAGTGCTAGCCTTGAGCTGAAAAGCTGAGTGACAGTGCTCAGGCCCAGAGTTCAGAGTTGAGGACAACCCTCCCCCCCCCCCCAAAAAAAAGATCCTGTCTCGATAAAATAAAAAATAGATTAAAAATATCTGTCACTCATCATCTGATGAAAATATTGTGTATAGTGAAACAGCACTCTGTTATTTTCCTTTTTTATGCTTTATTTTGGCTCTCTTCTACTTAAATATCTGTGAAAGACTAGATTTATAGAATAGTTTGTATTAGGACATATCACTAAGTTCAGCAAAAACTTACATTTTATAAAAATTGAATTTCTAAGTTGATTTTCTTGCAAATGTAGCTATTATCTGAGGACTGTATATTGCATGTTTCAATTTGATTATTTGAATTTTGAATTAGCATACATTACGCATACAAGAGGTGTTTCATTGTCCTAACACCATATATGTGTGTGGCATGAACCGAGTTTGAGGCACAGTCATTTCTCTATGTGTTCCTGTGTTGTTTCAGCTGGAGAAGCCTACATCTCCACACTAGGAATCGTAGTAGATGAAAAACATCAGAAACTATCAGGACCCTTGTTCTGCTGGCAGAATTCTATAAGATGGCACTTCACAGGAGTTGAGTTAGTAATATATATCAGGCTTTACATTGGGATACATAAAACGAGGTACCAAACAGTGTACAGTACTTTAGACAAAATCTAAAATCACCTATTAGACAAAAACTCAGCATTTCTAGTTGACAGTAACTACAGTTCAATGCAATAGTAAAATATTGAAATTTATGTATCTGATGTCAACAGGTAATGTTGACATCTCTGTGAAAGAATTAAAGACTATTTGTTTGTACTGAGGCTTGAACTCAACATTTCATGCCTACCATGCAGGTGCTTTACCATTTGAGCCACACATCTAGCTCTAGTTTTCTTATATTTTGGGTGTAGGGTTTTATCTTTTTTTCCAGGGCATACCTTCATCTGTAAATCTCTTAGGTATTCCTTCTGGGATGGGATTTAGGCATTATATGTGATTATAGATAGGTACCTTTATCCCCAGCTATTTAGAACACCTTTATAAGACAATAACTAAGAACATTTAAAAAGTTATTTTACTTTAGCCCACAAAGTGGTGAATACAATTTAACTGGATCATCTAAGCATCCAAACCCTCTGCATGTGGATACCAACCCACCCAATGGTCAAATACAAACATGCATGTTTTATTTTTTTCTCTCGATATTAAAGCTTCCAAACTTTGTTTATTCCATAGGAATCTGAGCTTATAGAACTACGAGAAACTATTGAAATGCTGAAGGCCCAGAACTCTGCTGCTCAGGCAGCCATCCAGGGAGCACTGAATGGTCCCGACCACCCTCCCAAAGGTATTGATTTAATTTGTTTAGTTAGAATAAAGCTGCATTTACCAGTAGGCAGAGCCTTTATAATGTGTAAAGTAGAATGCATGCGTTCAGAATTCCAGTTTCTAAATGGCAGCTTTCATTATCAAATAATGTTTAAGTCAACCCTAATATATTCAACTCTGTGAATATGAGCATTGTGCATGTGTGTGTGTGTGTGTGCATATACACAGACACACACAGGCACACAGACACACACACACACACACACCTTTCTCTCAACCTGATCTGGGTAGAGGACAATGGGATGATTGTTAGAACATATATATCGGACATATTTTATTGCATAATAAGCCCAGTCAGATCCATATAGAAAATGAAATCATTAATCAGCTATTAAGTGGGCATGGTGACCCACTTTGTGGTGGGATCAGTAAGAAGGTATATTTCCTACAGGTAATTTCAAATAATAAAACAATTAACAATCGACCCACTGGATTATTACCATGCTTCTGTGATTTTACATAATAAAAATGAAAATAGTGCTCCTTGTTGCCGTTCTTGCCCACTAAAGAAGTGCTCATTTTTTGTCATGTCATTTGTTTCTTTACATACATCCTATTATCTACTCAGGCCCTCACTCTGAGCAAATAGTCTCTATTCTCTCCCAATTTGAAATGAGTTTCCTAAATCTTGCACTCTTACTGTCTCTCTTCCCATTTCCAGATTAATTCTGGGGGAAAGAATTGAAGCTGGGTGCTGATGGCTCACACCTATAACCCTAGCTACTCAGGAAGCTGAGATGTGAGAGCCATGATTCAAAGCTAAAACCCACATTTGAAAGTAGGGGTGTGTCTCAAGTGGTTTTTTTTTTTGCTTTGAGCAAAAAAGCCATATGATAGCCGATGGGCCTGAGTTCAAGCTCCAGTTCTGGTGAAATAATAATAGCAATAGTAGTAGTAGTAGTAGTATAAATAAAATTGAGTCACTAGTGGCCATCGTGAGCCCACAGCTTGTGTTCTTACCACTTCCTCAAACTATTCTTCCCAGCAGTCGTTAATAACCAAATGACACCATCTGTTAAAGGGTTTAAAGTTCTTGTGACACACAGTAAAACAGCTATTATACATACCCCATGTCCTTTGACAGCTTTACCTCTGCTGTCCTTCTTACCCTACCTCACTCCTTTCTAAATGAGTGTTAATAGATTTCATTAGACTGTATTCATGCATTCATGTCAAACACTTCGATTATATTCATTACCATCTTTCCTTACCTGTCCTTTCTTCCTCTCGCTGGTCCCTCTAGTTTCCTTCCAAAAGACAATCCTTATTTAACAATTCAGGTGATTCTTTTTTTCTTTGCTTTTATAGTTTAGATGCCACATATGAGAGAGGTCATGCTGTATTTGTCTTTCTCATTCTGACTCATGTTGGTTAACATGATGATCTTTAATTCTATCCATTTTCTTGCAAATGATATAATTTCTTCTTCTTCTTTGTGGTTGAGTAATAATCTGTTCTTCATCCATTCTTTGATTAGGTAGCATCCAAACTGGTTTGGGTATATTTTTTGATATCCACTCACTCTTTTGTATCTATTTGTAGTTAGCAATCTTTTAAGCTCTCTTCTACTAATTCTGTACCTTAAAAGTCCATATATCCTACCTAAAATGTAACAAAAGGTCATCTGGTACTCTAGCTATAATGGGCCCTGGTATGTTGATAACTGTCTAATCTGTGTCTCTAGACTCCATTGTACTACTGAGAAACAGATTCTTCTTTCCAACTAACAGGACAAATTACTTGAACATCTTTGTTTGTCTCCTTGGCATTTCTATGCGAAAGAGACCCACTCTTGAAATGGGCATTTTTTTTCTTCTCTCATATCAAATTCCCCATCAGTTCTCCCTACCTTGTAAATGACACAACCATCCTTCTATGTAGCCAGAAATCTAGATGTCAGTCATAACTACTTCTATCTGATTGAATAAATCAACAAATTCTGTTGTTTACCCTTTGACTAGATCTGAATTTGTCACTTTTTCTCTCATCCTTCTGTCATCATCCCTCATTGTCCACTGACCATGAACACAGCCTCCATATAGCCTTTCTGTCTTTAATCTTTTCCTAGTTTGCCTCATTATTCACAGTCAGAGCAACAATCCAATACCAGTATTCGTATGGGTCTTCTGGGGCCTTGTATTAAAAAGGTAATTTCTCAACATGAGATAAGCATGTTTGCCAGCTCTATTCATTCAATAAATACTTAGTGAGTGATAATTATGAACCAAATGCTGGTATGGTTTTTGTTTTTTGTTTTTTTACTTTACTAGCATTTCTTTCAGTTCACCCTAAGTTCTTAGTGCAATGTGTTTATTCCACTCAGAACATTCCATCCTGTGTTTAAAGACTTTCTGGAAAATGTAGGACTTAATCTGAATAGGCCTTCATGAACCCCAAAGTGGATGATGTCCCTTGTAATATGCTTTTGGAAGCAGCTGTAAAACTTTGATTAAAAATAATATAAATGCATGATAATGTAAATCTGTAGTAGGACATTAAAAGGGGAGTGTGTGTGTGTGTGTGTGTGTGTGTGCGCGCGCGCGGGTGCTACTCCTGGGGCTTGAACGCCACAGCAATACTTTGGGCTTTTTGTTGCTTAATTGGCAATAACATTCTCACAGGCTTTCCTGCCTGGGCTGCTTTTGAACCGCAATTCTCAGATCTCAGCTTCCTGAGTAGCTAGGATTACTGGTATGAGCCACCAATGCCCAGCTTTAGGTCTTGTTATCATATCCCAGTGCAAGTGATGATCCGTTTATCATCACTCTATAACAAGCTTGCTTGCGTTTTATAGAAACAATAACCTATCAAAAATATATACTGGAGCTTAAATTTTAGGGAAAAATATATAAAATGAGCTATATTAAAGTTGAAAGTCAAAGTAGTTTTCTGTGGGCTCCTTCTGTTAAGAATTTAGCAACTTTCCATGTGGGGAAGTTAATTTATATGCGACATGGAAATCACTGCATATTTAAAGCTTATCTTAGAGCTATAATAAAGCAGCTTATGTTCTAAATCTTCGTGTAGTAAATAGGTCCAGAAGGGATTTAGAAAGGCTTAATCCTTTCTTTAATACAGCACAAGCCACTGAAGTGAAACTTTCTAAAAGGATTCCTTTTATCTTAGGCAACAGGTAGCTTAGTGTATCTACTGGAATTTTGAAAAAAGGAATTCCTTCACAAAATAATAATTTATACCTAGTCTGCCAATACTAAAAATATTGAAAATTTCCACCTTTTACATCTAGCAAAATACCTAGTTGTAAAGCGTTGACTGTATATAGTATACGTAGACCATGTTTTTGAAATACTAAAATTACATAAATTTTAGTGAAAATAAAATTCCATATATCATAGTGGCCACTAATATTACTTGGAGAACCAGATTAATTCTTTATCTTTTTATGGGTTATTTGGGTAATTAGGTAGCCTGAAATCATATGGATATTAGTTTTTGATACCTTTGACATATTTGTGTTAAATAAATTTTTGACATACAGTCTGAAATGATTCAGGCAATACTTATAATCAGGCCAAAGATAGCAAACCACATACCAATTTATTATTTATTAATTTCCATCTATTTTATCTAAGTTATATGTTACTAACATCTGATTTATGACAAAAGTTTATAATGAAATAATGTCTTCACTTTCAGACATATTTCAACATCTGATACACACTTTGAGCTCTATCATATCTTAAATATCAAGTTAAAAACAAATGTTTCCAAGTGGCTCACAATTTATTATAGTAAAGGCAAAATACATGTTTACATATGTATTTATTTACACATCTATTTTAAACAACTATGACAAAGGAAATTGTTATGAGGCTTAAAATTGAAGCTATGTAGATTGTTTTCTCCAAATAAAACACTGGATTTTTAAGTCATTACTTCTTTTTAGACACAAAAGAGTTTTGGATTTTTTTTTTTGAGAAGTACCAAGGGGGCAGGTCTGTGATTCCAGCCACAATGAAGGCACACACAGATAGGAGGATCATAGTCTAGGTTGGCCACAGACACAAAGTACAAAAAAGACCTTAGAAAATATAAAATAAAATATAAAAGGCATTGAAAATATTTACTTAAAAACAGACCATGAACAATGTGGCTTAATTGGTAGAATACCTGTCAAGAATGTATGAGGTCCTGAGTAACACACACACACACACACACACACACACACACACTCACACACACACACACACACACACACACACAAATACAGTTCAACTATACATGTACATATATATGTGATTGCCATTATACTAAGTCCATTTTAGCATTGGTAAGTGAACACAATTTTGTTGAATGAACATCTAGAATAAATGTACTTCTGTCTGGGAATGTGGCTTAGTGGTAGAGTGCTTGCCTGGCATGCATGAAGTTCTGGGTTTGATTCCTCAGCACCACATATGCAGAAAAAGCCAGAAGTTGTGCTGTGGCTCAAGTGGTATGGTACTAGCCTTAAGGAAAAGCAGCTCTGGGACAGTGCCCAGGCTCTGAGGTCAAGCCTTAAGACTAGAAAAAAAAATGTATTTAACACCTATATCATTCACATACTGAATGTATGCCTTGGAATAAAGCAGGAAGAGTAAACAAAACAAACATCGAAAAGCTCTTTCTCCATCGAACTTTCCGTCTAATGGGAGAGGAGTGGCTCTTGACTAAGATGGAGGGGAACAGGGCACCATAATAAAGACAGTACCAGGAAACCTGCTGGAGGTTGCATGGTGATTTAGAAACACTTCCATTTTAGCAATACTTAAGGGAAGTTTGAAAGAGTAATTATGAGGTCATACTGTAAGTGCTACAGGAAGAGCTTTCCAGGAGGGCTCTCAAAGCACAGAGGAGATAGGTGTCATTGGCAAACTGATATAAAGAGAAAAGTGAGCAATGGTGAAATAAGCAGAACGTAGCTGAACAGATATGTACTGAGCAAATTACTGGGGAATTTGGACCACTGGTTTTTCACAATTGGATTTTTCTATGCTTATTAAAATTAGAATCCATTAAAAAGTTTTAAGAAAAGGAGTGATGGTGATTTCTTTTTCCTTCTGAAAAGATTTCCCTAGCTCCTGTTTATAAAAACAGTTGGAAGATGAGTAATTTAGATCACGTTGCTCACTACATGTAATGTTCTTTGACTGGAGCTGGGGCATCGGGGATGCAGAGGAGAGGAGATAGAAAATGAATGAGTGAGCAAATACATATCTGAAAATTACACTTTTCTAGCAGGTATCTCATTATTCAAATGGTTGATATTCATTTGTAATCATTATTTACTTGGTCTATAATGCCCCCAGTACTCAAGTCCTTATTAGCAGTAGAAAAGAATTGTAAGGGGAAGGTAAAATGCATCTCCTTTGTTCCATAATAATATTAAAACTATTATGCTGCTAGTCTTTCCTGGAAAATGAAGTTATAGTTAAAGGTAACTCAGGCCTCCAAAGTACACTTTTGACTATAATTATGATAATTTACCTGGCTTTTAAGTTCTGTGCCTTTAATAAAAAGTGAAATACAATTTATTAACTGTACATATCATAAAATCTCCAGAACTCTTACGGTTTATACATTTGTCCTATTGGTGAAAAATAGGAAGGAAAAGCCATCAGATGCTCTAGGAAGTTTAGAAAAATTACAGGCACTGTAGCAGAGATTAAAACATGAATTAAAACTCATATTCTTACATTATTTATTCATATGACATATATATATATATTTATTAGAAAATTAAGGGATAGGAGCCTCCTTTATTGTGTAATCTAAACAGTAAACATCAATACCTTGATTGAAGGTTTTGGAGATTGGTTATATTTCTTGCACATAAAACCAATAAATGTTCTCATTATTTTTTAAAAAATTAGTTTAAGAAATAAAACTGCATATTCTGAAATTTACTGTTCTTTATGAAGTTTATGAGAATGACCATTAATGGAAAAATTAAGTTATGGGTATATGAGTGTGAGAACAAATATATATGTATATATTTATCTCCACTTATATATATATCTCATGTGTTTTATACATACATATTACATAGTCACATATAAACTAATATAAAGTAACCACTTATAGTTATTTTTCTAAATTGGTCAACTCAAAGGCTTGTGTTCATACTATTATTTCTGTGGAAATTTTAAGAAATATGTATACTAATCTTTTGACATCTTACAAGTTTCCCTGAGATTTGTTTTGGGGAGGAAGACTTGGCTAATTCTCAAAGATACCAATCAAACATATTAATTGAAATATCTTAAAAGCAAATTTGGCCTTATAAATGTTCTTAGTATCTTACTAATAGTTATCAGTTTAATTTTAATAGCTATACCTTATGAATTATTTACATAGAAAACTGAATGCCTTTAAAATTCATTCAATATAAAATGCTACAATTTTTCAAGTATTCCCTGTATCTTAAGAAACAATGTATGGGGCTGGGAAGGTGGCCCAGTGGTAGAGCGCTTGCCTTGCATGCATGAGGCCCTGGGTTCGATTCCCCAGCACCACATAAGCAAAAAGAAAAAAAAAAGCCGGAAGTGGCGCTGTGGCTCAAGTGGTAGAGTGCTAGCCTTAAGTTGAAGAGCTGAGGGACAGTGCCCAGGCCCAGAGCTCAGGCCCCCCCCCCAAAAAAAGAAACAATGTATGCTGTTTAGCAGCATAATACAGCTGTATTATATGGTAGTACAATAGATATTAGAATTGGTTGGCCTCTGAGGTTGGTTTCATATTTTCAACTATGTTACCTGTGAAAAGTGTTTTAGAAGCTAAACTCATTCGCCTGATTTAATTTAAGAGTAAAATTAGGTACTGTAGAGGCATACTAAGCATTATTATTGTTGTTCCTAGCCTAAGTCAAGGACAGGGAGTGAGGCATGTGAGAAGAATTACACTTCATTAAGTTTATTCTCTGTTTAATTTACAAAGAGCCTACCTCAGCTCTCTTGAGAATCTGCCTTTGCCATTTCTTTGACCTTGGTCAAGTTACATAACTTCTTTATACTTCAGTGTCCTCTGCTCTGACATGATATGAGTTTCATAATTTGTATTGGCTACAAGGTGGTACAATTCACTGAAATGGAAAGTTATATATTTGGCTTTGATAACTCATCAAAGCACAAATATTAAAAGGACAGAATTAACTTACATTCTATTATATTTTCCCATGGAACTAATCATTCAGAATAAATCATTTTGGAAGTACATTTTGGCCCAGGTATTCAGTAGAAAGCACCAGCATAACATTTCATTCTTGGATAAAATTCAGAACTCATTAAACCTCCAGTATTAGGCATTCATATGAGATTCCCATTGAATCTTATCATAGAAAACTGCTCACTAAAGCAAATGTGGTTGTACTGTATTAAACTCGTAAGATGGAAACTATCCAACATAATCTTATAAAGTCTTGTTGAACTTTATTGGAGAACTTCCTCTCCGAAAGCATCAAAGACATGTTTGTCCAGATTGCAACTCACAGAATGTGACCCTCTCTATTATTGCCAGATCTCCGCATCAGAAGACAACATTCCTCAGAAAGCGTGTCTAGTATCAACAGTGCCACAAGCCATTCCAGCATTGGCAGTGGTAATGATGCCGATTCCAAGAAAAAGAAAAAGAAAAATTGGGTAAGCCTTTATTACTTATCTAATACAGTGCTTCATTACGGTGTGATGACTTAGATATTGTTCTTGTTCTTGAGACTTCAGAGCTCTATAGTGGTTTACAAAGTGTATTCAAAGAACTGGTGTGCTTATCACCAAGATTAGGCTCTCATAGTGCTGAAAAGCATACATGTTGGAGTTGTTAGGATGGAGACAAAGAAGTATAGGATTATGAAGATGATGGTGGTGGTGGTGATGATGGTTTTGTGGTAATGATGGTGGTAGTGGTGCTGGTGGTGGCAGTGATGATGATGAGGATGATGATGATGGTGATGGTGATGATGGTGATGGTGATCAGAGTGGTAGCGGTGGTGATAATGGTGATGGTTGTGGTTGTAATAATGATGGTGGCAGTGGTGATGATGGAGGAAATGGAGTACTGGATTGGATAAAAGTACACACAAGTTCTTGGAAGTCATTCGTCACCATGGAGTCCACAGGACTCCCAGTTCCATCCCATTCAAAATCACCTACATTAGTGTTTCTGTTTTATTTTTTACTTAAGAGAACCCAATAGAAATACAGAAAAGAATTGCCACAGAATTGCACCTTAAGCTTGCAAGGGATGTGTTTTGGCATAACTTATGGTATTATTAAACAATTACTTAAAACAGAACAATTGAAGAGAACAAGCTGACACTGCGGAAAGTTTAAGCACGTTGAAGTAAAGGATTTCCTTTGTTTCTACCCACAAAGGTAGATGTGTAATGAATGCAATTCTTGAAATCTAAAGCAAAACTATCAGGATTTACCTGGAGTACTTTCTGTAAATAATGAAAAATATATATCTTTTTTGTTTTGAAAAAATGTTTATGCAGGTTTTATTTTAAAATACTGATCCGCCTTCATTCCCTTGATTTGTAATTCCACACTCTTTCATGTTTCTGCAAGGTGAACTGTAGAGGAAGTGAGGTGAATATAACCGGTGGACAATTTGGCATGCATCTATACAAAAATCCCTCCCTTGGCATGAATGCTATTCATTTTGGCAGTAGGCTTTTATACCTCTTAAAAACAGATTACCTTGTATGTCTTTTCTTTGTGTCTTTTCCATTTTAATCTCAAATTTTAAAGGAAAGCAAAACCTCTTTCTGAATAGAGCTGTAGGGGACACCAATTCTGGTTTTCAATAGTCTGGGATTTGAAAATTTGAATAGAAAGCCACAATTAATGAAGTGGTAGGTGAATTTGATTTCATTTTGCTTTTTAAGTTTGTACTGTCAGCAGGATATGACTTGATTGTAGCACTAAAGTGGCCATTTAAAACAAATTGCCTTGAAGAGAGAAAGCACTGGGAGTGGAGATCCCTTCAAGGTACTTAGTTTTAAATGAGTGCTCTGACAGCCGTGCCCTTGACCTTGCACTATTTTAAATCCTTCCATGTTTGCGCTGAGCTGGATTAATACAAAGATAAAGGGAAAACACTGAATGCAGTATCATTTGATATTTTTTTTTAGAGATACTGTGCTGCATTTGTTAATACTCTGCTTATTTATACTGACCCCAGGCAGTGGCTAGGATGGCACCTGCTAACTAACGCCCCTAAGCCAAAGTCCTCCAAGGACAAATAGACAAGGAAGGTAATTTCTGTCCTTCTTTCAGCTGAGAAGCTCTTTCAAACAAGCCTTCGGAAAGAAAAAGTCCACCAAGCCTCCTTCCTCTCACTCGGACATCGAAGAGCTTACTGATTCCTCCCTTCCAGCCTCCCCAAAACTGACCCATAATGTTGGAGACTGTGGCTCAGGATCCATGAAGCCATCTCAATCTGCCTCTGCGTAAGTGTCTTTCTGAAGGCTGTCCACCTGTTTATGAAACACAACCTCAGGGCAAGCCCCATGTATATATTCAAAATGGAACCAAGTGCCACCTGCCTGACTGCAGTCTCAGATCTGTACTGACCATCTCCAGAGTTTTCTGAGAATGGTAGAGAAAATTTACTTCATGCTTTGTATTTTTGAGCATTTAAATACAAATACTTCTTGATCCTACCCTCCACTTCTCTAATTATTGTACTTCTTTTTTTCACTGAAATTATCCATCTATCTGTCTGACTGTGCACACATACAGGTCACCCCTTGTCTGGCCACCAAAGAAAAGGCAAAATGGCCCTGTCATCTACAAGCATAGATCTCGGTAACATGGTTTGATGCATACGAGAGCTGTCAAGATTGGAATGCTAACCTAGCAGTATTTGCTTCTGTTTTCTCTAAAACCACATGCATGCATTCCACCTACAAATACCTCTCTCTGTGTTTTCAATTAAAACTTAGTTTCTTAAAAAAATAAATCTGCAATCTGTTTGTCTTTCATTGTATTGGATATTGGATAATCTAACATAGTATTTCTATATTAGCTCACTTTGTGTTGGTGTGTGTGTGTGTTTACCTGTGCATGTATGTGTGCCTGCTGGTACTAGGGCTTAAACTCAGGGCTTAGGCCCTGCCCCTTAGCTTTTTCTCATTTTGCTCAAGGCTAGTGCTCTAACATTTGTGCCATGTTGTGCCATGATGAGAAGATTCTGTTTTATTTACTATTTAAACTCTGATTTTCTTATGCACCCAAAACAATGACAGCTATAGAATATGGATTCAACAGGACCTTTATGCTGTGGCTACTTAATTTTACCTCTTCCATAATTATGAGGGAAGAGTGTGTCATGGCATATTGTAATCAACAATCTGAGTCCAAATACTATTTTAAATGATAATAACGTAAAATTAATATAAACAGATTCCTTTGCCTGATTTTCTACAAAGCTGTACACAAAATACAGGTGTATGACGTATATGACCTTCACACAGCTCTCTACTAGCCTGCCTGTGTGGGCAGCTAAGGCATAGACTTTAGTCTGTGCCTTAGCTTCACGTGTTATGATCTCCCAAATCTGCTGAGCCCATAGGAAGATTATATAACACTCATCCATTATTTAAATGTTTCAAGCTAATCTCTTTAATTTATTTTTGACAATAGTTATGTTGGATTTTCAAATGTTAGTGTGAGGCAAATAAGGTTATGGTATGTACAATTTTTTAAAAAAAGAAATCAACGTTGTGAGATACAATAACTTGGCTTTTTAAAAGGAAAAATTTGCTGGGTACTTGTAGCTCATGCCTGTAATCCTACCTATTCAAGAGGCTGAGAGCTAAGGATTATGGTTCAAAGCCAGCTCAGACAGGAAAATCCAGGTAACTCAATTAACCACCAAAAATTACCCAGAAATGGGGGTATGGCTCAAGTGGTAGAACACCAACCTTCAGCAACAAAGCTGAAGGACAGCACCTACATCCTTAATTCAAGCTTCATAATTGTACAATAAGAGGGTAGGTGGGGTAGGGAGAGGGAATATTTCACAAGTTGCCAAGAATATAGAATGAAATACAGTTATACTATGACTCCTCTGTTCTGTATGTAATCACAGCAATCAGAGAATTTTAAGGATCACTTAGCATTGCATAACAGTACATTGTTTTGTAAACTTCAGAAAATAAGAAGAAAAGATCAAGAAGGACATTTAGTCTGCAGTTTTGGACTTGTCATTGCATTTCTATTGCTGGAACTCTCTCATTTTTCTAGGTCTTGCCAACAGTCCGTGATTTTTGGATGCTATTACAGTTCAGCCCTTAAAAGAGGGATTTCTTTTACTAATCTTTTGACTCTCCCCCTCCTCCCATCACCGACACCACTGATTTTTGTGTTGTTGTTTTTTTCCTTTAGGATCTGTGAATGCACAGAGGCTGAGGCAGAGATAATTCTGCAGCTCAAGAGCGAGCTCAGAGAAAAAGAATTAAAACTAACAGATATTCGGCTGGAGGCCCTCAGCTCTGCCCACCATCTTGATCAGATCCGGGAAGCCATGAACAGGATGCAGGTCTGTGCTGAATTCAGCATGTTTTGAGAAGGAAATGGAAAAATTATAATTCTGGAGGGCAATTTTTTTTTCCCTTCCTCTTGTCTGGCTTTCCCTACAACCACATTCACTCTTAAAGCCATTGTGGAATTGTCCTCTGTGTCTACAGTTTTTACAACTCAGTTTTTAGTACTAAGTGGAGAATTTTCTGAATTCTAGTTTGGCAGTGAGAAAGCAAACTAGGCAGTTCTATTCAAGGATCATTAAGGATACTTGTACTAGTGATTACATTCTGGCTGAAAGCCATATTTTACAGAAATGACTACAATTTTTGATTCTTCACTCTTCTATGAGTTACCTTTATATTAGCATTGTTCTAGAAAGTTATTCTTTTGAAATCTGACTTTCAAAAATACCTTTACCTACTTTCCATTGAAAAACAAAAATAATGAGGGGACTACATGCTTCAAAAGAAGCATTCTGAATATAAAAGTAAAAGTGATTTAGAAGGCCAACTGTAAAAGTAAAGCTTCTGTATCTTTTGGATGCATCTCAAAGCTAAATTCAGAAGTAGTGAGTGCTTAGAGTAAATTCTTATTTTATTATTGTAAATCAATAATCCCCACTACCACAGACAATAGAAGTAAGAAAATACTCATTTGCTGAGCAGATTCATCTGCCACTGTATAGATTCACAAATAGGCTTATGTTGTTTTTATGAGCTTAGTACTTTATTTTGAAAAAAAAACACCTTTTTCCATTTATTAGCTAGTATGCTGAAATAACTATAAATCACCTTGTTTGTATTATTTCTGTTTCTCTATTTTTCTGGTCTCCCTGAATTCAGGTAAGTAAGGTAGCATTATTTGCCTACAGGATTCTAATACCACTTTTAAAATAAGTGTGAGGAACTATCAAATTATATTATTCTTTTGGTGTTTTGTTTGTTTCTGTGCCAATGATTCAGCCTCACAGTCACACTTGGCTTTTTCAGTTAAGGCCAGCACTGTACCCTAGAGCCACACCTCCACTTCCAGCTTTTGAATGGTTGATGGGAGACAAGTCTCTTAGACTTTCCTGCCCAAACTGGCTTTGAACTGTGATCCTCAAATCTTGGCCTTCTGAATAGCTAGAATTACAGATGTGAGCCACCAGGACCTGGCTATATTATTCTTAATTCAAATAAGACTAAGTCCTGAAAAACTTTTATGAAATATGATGTTTTTAAACAATAGGAATGAGAATACAGCTTAGTGTAGAGTTCACACCTAACATGTATGAGACCCTAGGTCCAGTTCCTAGCACCCCAAATAGTTAACAACAACAATAACAATATGGTGTCAATTGTATGAACCCAGGTGTACGTACTTGTAAGAGTCACAGCAAAAGCTAACTTTCCTTCTGTACAAGAAAATGCTGTTTTTATCATTTGTATTTATTTAACCTATTACCATATACTTTAACAAACTGCCTGCCTCTCCTACAAAACTTGGCGCCTTTTCCTCTGTTTTCTGTCTTTGTAACAGAATGAAATAGAAATACTAAAGGCTGAAAATGATCGGTTGAAGGCTGAAACTGGTAACATTGCTAAGCCTGCTCGGCCACCATCAGAATCCTCCAGCACTGCATCTTCCTCTTCTTCCCGGCAGTCCCTGGGGCTTTCCCTCAACAACTTGAACATCACAGAGTCTGTTACCTCAGGTGAGTTAGTGCATATACCTGCCCAACCCACAGCTGCTCTACAGCTCAGCAGGGATGGGCACATTTAGAATCTGGACATCATTGCCCTTCAGAATGTTAACATAGCCCTATTTTTATCTTCAAACATCTTTCTACTTGTAATTTTATAAGAATATTCTCTGTGAAATATTGAATCTTAGAGGTACAGTTTTCATACTATGCTTAAAATTTTTTTTCTTGCACTTTGGGAGGACAGCATCCTTGAATATTCTTGGAGATGATTAATACTCCCAGAATATAATAACTCCATGGCAGTTAATAGAGTTTTCAGTGTACAAAGCCATTTCTGAATTCAGCTAGATGGGCCTTCTTGCTGTTGCCTAGGGAAAACACGATGTTGCTGTGTTACCCAGCCTGCAGCTTTATTAAATTTTCTGCAAACAAAAGAAAATGCTAGGTTGTTATTGTGCACAGCGGGACTAATGGTAGAAGAAGGGTAGAGTTTTGATTCAATTTCAGGCAGAATCACATGATACTGTTTCATCTTGATATATAATGAGCCATTCACTTATCAAGTAGAACTGTTCCTATGACATTGAATCATTTGATATACGTAGAGTTTAGTAGGAAATGTTTACATGAAGATCTGTGGTAATTACAAAGTCCAACCACTAGATGACGCTTGGAAACCAGTAAAATTGATGATCCTTGGCAACTAGACTTCACTGTGGACCCTGGAGATTCTGCTGCTTGTCTTAAACCATTCAAATGTAGACAGATCAAGAGGAGGAAGAAGATATTTTTTAAAAAATTATGCGGTTATTGATTACATTTTCATAAATCACATATCTTCAAAAAATCCAGAATCTTTTCAAATTCTTTTGTGGCTATTGATATAGCTGTAACTAATATATTATAAAAATATAAAAATTACATAAATATATACACTCCCTTTTAGCATATATATTTAAAGGATAATAAAGGATAATTAAAGCTTCTTGTAATTCAGAAAAATAATGTTTATACATAAGACCATAACTTGTGTTCTACAAAATCTTCAGAGTATACTTTCCTCATGATTTTCCTCTCATGGAGATTGTTTTTACACAGATTTTTCTACCAAATTACTGTGAACAGGGAAGAACCAGAGTTAGTCAGGATATGATCTTCCTACTCTCTAACGGATATTTCTGAATACATATACAGAGAAAAGAAATAATTATTTGAATAGCGGAATCTACTAGGCATAGAACATGAGGTGTTTTACAAAGCTATTGCTTATGCTTTCTGTAGCTGTACAAAATGGGGCTGCTTAAGGGCCCTACTTTGTATATGTGGAAACCAGAGCCTAGGAAAGTGACTGTACAGATTGTTTCCAAAGCATGCAACTAATGAGTGGAAAAAATTAATATGTAGAGTCACATCTGGATGGGTCCACTACCAGGACTTTTACCTAGCATATTAATTCTGCTGTAGCTCATCTGTACAAAGGCCAAGAACAATCATTTACTGGTAACACTACCTCACTGTTCTCAGGAGTAAATATACACTTGAAGCTTCATTTTCTTTAAAAAGTGAATATGACATGAGATGTATCACATGTTTCCAGGCAAAGCTGAGCAGATACAGAAATAAGCTCTGAGGTTAAATACCTTTCCATGGATTATTTCAACATCATTTTATACCACCCTGCTCTCCTCCTGATTTTAAACTCCTGCTCCCCCAAACATCTGTTAGTTCCTGGAATGCTTCCAGCTCATAATCAGCGCACTTGGACTTGTGACTGTCTGCTGAACCTCTTTCCTTGACTCTTCACATGACTAGCAGTTATCAGTCTTCTAGATTTCTCCCAAACATAACTCTCCAAGGACACTTTCCAGGATTATCATCTATCTAGAGCTCTCTTCCCTTGGTAATTATTCCCTGTTTCATTGAAGGGTACTTGACATGTTCTGTAATTACCTTGTGGAAAAGAGCAAAAATTACTTAGTTTCAGAGGAGCAAAAAATTTCTTTTATACTTTGATCTTTGTTCCCAATGCCCAGACACTTTCTGATACTCAGCACTGGCTGAATATTTCTGAGCATTTGAGGCAAGTACTAAAAAGAGAGTTTAATAAAAAATAAAAATAAAAAAGATGTTTAGATGAGAGCAGCCAAGGATGAACTGCTCTGGACTTCTGAAATTAAGAACAAGTTAATTAGAATAATCCTTAATAGCATTTTTTACATTGAAATGGTATTTATCTATCTGTATGGGATAGTAACTTATCAGAATTCAATACATTTAAACAATATATAATCATCAATTTGAGGTAATAAGCTTTTTGCATCACTTCAAATAAATATTCATTTTTGTGTATTTTGGGAATTGCATACTCTTCTAGTCATTCTGAAATATGTCATATATTATTTTAATCTGCTAAAGAAAATTCAGAAATAGTATCTCCACAGAATTTTAGGAAAGGTTAAAAAGGCACAAGTTGGAAAGATGGTAATTTGAGAACATTTCAGTAGAGGAAATTATCTTCCGTGGTTTATAAGTTTCCAGTGAAAGGGCTGGGGTATTACTCAACCCCCAACATGGCACCAAATAACAACAATAGCACCTTAAAATTTCTAAAGAAAATGTGTATATCATGTACATATAAAATGTACATATAACTGTAGATCTATATTATACACATACCTATACTGGAGCTCTAAAAGTTGTATTTGTTAGGTCTTATGGTTTTTATTCCTCCTCCTTTAAAAAATTACATAGACTTAATTATTAACATCATCGGAAACATCCATTTTTCAGTAGCCATCTTATTAAATTGCCATTCTTATGATGTTACAGTCACAAGGCTTGTCTCTATAAAATTATCATCAGAGCTTGTCACCAGGCACAGGAGCTCTAGGGCACATAACTAAGTTTCCTTTATCCACAGAGCACTATCTTCATATTAAGAACAGCTGGGTAAGAGCATCATTGTTGAAGGAAACCATACATTTGGGATAACTTACAATGAGTTTTTCAAATTGGAACATTAATCTGGTATAATGCATTTAAATTTTTAATCTTTATTTTCATTTAAAGCATGGTATTTTAAAGGTTAATGAGCTTTATCATGCTTCTGTAATTTTTAGGTGGTTACTAGAAGCAGTATTTTGAAACTATTACCATAAAGTATACAGTAGAGTAAGAATTAATATGCCTCTAAGGATGATTAATGCTATAGTGAAAATTCAAAAACGGTACCTAATAATGAGTGATATAAGGTAAGTGGTATAAAAGCTGCACATGTGCCCAATGCTTGAAAACAATTGTAGTTGACAGTCAATCTCTGCACCTGTGCATTCATAAATTACATGGGTATTGGGCTTGGATATTTTGGTTTGGGTAGAAAAATTGGATTGCTTTTCAGTTTTAATGGTGACTGAATATTACTCATGCATTATTCACATTATTGAGACTTGTCTATAATAGTGGGGGAAAATACATTTCCTCATTCAAAAGCAACTTGAGCAACAATCTTTAGAATCAGAAATAAATTCTTACGTTGAAACTTTAACCAACCACACAATTCATCTTTTTGAAAGCTATGGTTTTTCAAGCCATTTAGGCTAGAATGAAAAACAGATTCCATTGAACAAATATAAAACTATAGGGAAGAAACCAGGGACTGGAAACAAATTTCAGCTAATCGTACTCTGTTGTGTTTGTGTTTCTTTAAAATTTGGTAGATATTTTGCTTGATGATGCTGGTGATGCAACTGGACATAAGGATGGCCGCAGTGTGAAAATTATAGTCTCTATAAGCAAGGGCTATGGTCGAGCAAAGGTATACCTTTAAATTCTACGTTACTAAAAGGTCTGAAATCCTGAGTTGGATGCCTTTCTTCTACTAAATATTCTGTTGGAGGTGTTTGCTTTAGAATTAACTCATTATGTTACACAAAGTATATAAACAGTGACCATGAGAAATGGCATTACCATACATGTCAAATTTTATCTGAAGTATATCACATCTTCATGCTCTGAAACCAATATTAAGCAGAACTTTTTTCCTTGACATCAACATCTAATTTCCCATCTTATTTATGCCTGTCACCTGTAGACTCTAGGTAGTGTTTGTGATATGTCAGTAGGGTTGCCAATCATTTTGGACACAGACTATAAGGTTCAAAAATATTGTTGAGAAAGTGGGGCTATGGCCCAAATGGTAGAGCACCAGCCTTGAGCAAAAGAAACTAAGGGAGAACGCCCAGGCACTAAGTTCAAGCCCAAAGTCTAGCACAAAAAATATGTTGTTGACCTCAGAGAGATATACATATTCTACCTTAGTAGAACATATTACATTGAAGCTGCTTGTCCATATAGATTTTTTAAACAAGCTCCTCTCTGATTAGGCAAGTCTTTTTTAAAACTTTTTTATTGTAAAAATACTGTATAAAGGGGTTACAGGTACATGAGTAAGGTAATGTTTCCTATTGAGTATTGTCCCCCCTTTTTTGTTTTTCCCCTACTATCCCTTCCCTCCCCACCTCCCCAAAGTTATAAAGTTCGTTTTCAACATAGTATCTTGTGTATCTCGTTGTTACAATGGGTCGGCCTGTATCCTTATTTTAGCATTTTGTTATTTCCCTTCCCCTCCCCAAATTAGAAAAATGTATATACAAGATGCAGGGCACCGGAATCAAACACAGTGACAACAGGGGAAGAACATACAAAAGAAACAAAAACACATAATACATTGAAAATAGCAGGGACAAAGGAAAAAACCTCTTGTGTTCCTATCTAGGGGTTCATTTCACTTAGCATCATCTTATATAGTCATATGTACATAGCTTTTGACCTTTTCTGATTGTCTGGTAAGATTATCCTAAACGTATACTAGTTATTGCAAATAAGGGAAACCATGGGACCTATATTACTTTGGGCCTGGCTTACTTCACTTAATATAATTTTTTCCAAGTCTTTCCATTTCCTAACAAATGGGGCAATGTCATTCTTACTGATGGAGGCATAGATTTCCACAGTGGAATTCTGTGTGTGTGTGTGTGTGTGTGTGTGTGTGTGTGTGTGTGTGTGTGTGTGTGTGTGTGTGTGTGTGTGTGTATCACATTTTCTTGATCCATTCATCTACTGAGGGGCATCTGGGTTGGTTCCATATCTTAGCTATGGTGATAATGCTGCAATAAACATAGATGTGCTGGTATAGCTTTACTATGGCCTTGTTTGTAATCATTTGGTGAAATGTAATTAGGCAGGTCTTTTAAGATTTTCATTTTAAATCTTATTTTCAATTTGGCAACACTTTAACACTTTAAGTTGAATGCCTAGTGACTAGCCAAGAAGCATATTTGGAAATAATCTAAATATTTGTATCAACCCACAAGAGAAAAAAAAGTCATTTAGAATTTTAAAGTAATTGAAGTAGTTAAGTTTCCAGTGAGATACCACCTGTGAATTTTCGCATTGAGCAAATGTACCAAGGAATCCAACATCATAGGATTTCTGCTTGAGCTGCATATTTGCGCCTGTTTTTCCCCAGGTGGGTCTTTATGTCTAAAAGTCTCACTGGAATCCCAGCTAACTGATTTAAAAGCAGCTGTTTCAAACATTGTGTAAGCATCAATGTTAGCTATATTATGAATATACTGGAAAATAAATTTTCCTGCCTAGAATAATTCTAAAAGCCAGTATTTTGGAAGGTTTATATATTTATTTTTCAGATAAAGCTTCTTAGACCAGTTGTTTAAGGGTGTTAGGTCTGTCATCAAAAGATACCAGATAAAAGGATGGTTACATAACAAAAATATGTTTGCTCTTGTTTCTAGCAGTTAGCAACTCCAAGGTCAAGGTTCTGGCCAATTTAGTTGCTAGTGAGGGCTGTTGCCTTGCATTCCAGATGGCTTCTTGGTCCATTCTCAGCTGGTCTGACCTCAGTGTCTGTGGGAAGGGAAGAGTAGAGCTACCCCAATGTTACTCATCTCATCATGAGCTCATTGCTCATTGGTGCTAAACTAATCCTAATTACCTGATTAGCTCCGAATACATACTGGGGCTAAAGGTTTTTGCATGTGGGATTTTGTGGTGACGCAGACATTTTAATGTCTGTAGAAGTAGTGACAAAACAACACAGTCATTCAGCTGTTGGTTTCTCAACTTTTCTGACTTAGATTACATTGCAAGGATGTTGACTGTTGTTAACTTACAGGGTTAAATATTGCAGGTGAAGAAATGGAAGTTTTAGAGCAGTTCAGTGATTTTTCTTAAGGCCACGTTTCTTATTTAGGTGGTAGACATGTGTTATGAAATCCATGCCTCCAACCCTTCACTCTATCACCCATTAATGCCACTTACTGGGTGACTAGAACCAGAATTATAACACATTAACTAATTATATCTACTCATGTCGTAATTAGTAGTCTATGTAATTGTTCCTAGGCAACATAAAAGAGATGCTAATTAAATTGGAATTCCTGAATTGTCTACATACCTTCTATAGAAATTGCTCAAAACCCCATCCAACAACAATATAGATTTGAGATTAATATTTGCAATTTGCCAATATACCTAGTTGGATTAAAGAAGTTCTGTCAGTTTTTGCAAGTAGTAGATTTTCTGGTAAATTCCATGTTGGACTTGTTTTGTAAATGTGTAAATGCCATTATACCACAGATAATTATTTTTAATTTATTTTTACATTTTTCATGATTATAAGTTGTACAAAGTGAATAATTATTTTTCAAGCTAAATTAGATTTTTAGATAAAAACCCCGAGTTACAGACTTTTTAAACATAAGAACATTAAATAATAAAATGAAGTTCTAGGATTCGTATAGTGATATTCACACATCTCACTATTTCCCTCCCACCACACTGCTTTCCTAAGGATGTGCTCACTATGTTAAAATACAAAGAAGTACTCTCTGCTATTTTTCACTTTCCCTTCTTCTGGAAAGGTCTTGAATCAGTGTTCCTTGACAAACCATTTCATTTCATCTCTCTCTTGCTTGTAGTTGTTGATATTGCCATTATTTATTTAGTTCATTGACTAGTTTGCTGGACTCTGCTTCTTTGTATACGGACCACTATATTAATATAGATATTGATATGTATGTGTTTATATATTTGTTATCATATATCTGATACTATTGAATCAATGGACTTGATGAATTCTTTGCGCTAAATCACCACCTCCATTAATATGTTTCAGCAGAAAATACATTAATAGCATAAGATACATGGATTGATTCTATCTTACTTTATTTTGTTCTCATTAAGGACCAGAAGTCTCAGTCATATTTGATAGGATCCATCGGTGTTAGTGGCAAAACCAAATGGGATGTCTTAGATGGAGTAATTAGACGTCTTTTTAAGGTAAGTTGACTTTAATAGGATAGATAGCCAAGTCATGACTATAATTCTAGTAACTCAAGAAGCTGAGATCTAAGGATCTGGTTTCAAAATCAGCCCAGAGAGACAAATCTGAGAGACTCTTCTCAATAATTAACCAGTCAAATGTTGGAAGTAGAGGTATGGCTCAAATGGTAGCATGCCAACTATGAGAAAAAAAAAATGAACAACAACAACAATAATAATAGTTGCATAGATACTTCTGCTTCTCTATTTCAAGTAGGAAAGCTTTCTCTCATAATATTGCTCAATGTTAACATTTGTTATGTTACTCATATATACATTTTATCAACCGGCTTTACAGCTCCATTACTCTCTGTTTTGCAAATGAATAGAACTTCACTTTCAATTTTTGTGTGTGTGCCATTTTAGGAGTATGTGTTCCGAATTGATACGTCCTCTAGTCTCGGTCTGAGCTCTGACTGTATTGCTAGCTACTGTATAGGAGACTTAATTAGATCTCATAACCTAGAAGTGCCTGAACTGCTGCCTTGTGGATATCTAGTGGGGGATAATGACATCATCACTGTGAACCTAAAAGGTAAAAACTAAAGCTCCCTATTAGCTTCTTATTTAGTTCCTCTCCTTTTTGCTTTCTTTCTACCTTCCTTGCTTGCTTCCTTTCTTCCTTCTTTTCTTTCGGTTTCCATTCAGAGTTTCTGATTTACACTATTCATTCAACTTTGTTCTCCACTTTGATGAAATAGCCATGCTTTTCTTTGAAACTTAACATCCTACTAGAAAAATGTAAAATGCAGCGCAATTACCCTTTTTTTCTGTTTAGTTGTGAGATGTGAAACTTAGAATACCTTTCTGAAGGTGTGTCGAGTCATAGGGAGAAATATAATTTAGAGAACTTCAGTTTCTAGATTTTCTCCATTCTTATCTTTCACTAAGTGGGGGATTCAAAAGAATTAATGTGTATTTTGAAATAATATATTCGTCTCTATGTCTTGGATTTAAAAATTTTTGGAATCAAAAATATTCATTGGGCATAGGGAATGGAACTTGGGAATTGGGATGCTAATCCTTGCTTTCTTTGCTTTGGATGATGTGACTAATTACAGGCTTAATGTCAACCTGAAATTTACCATAGCTGTTTGCTTGTTGATGTTCAAGAATCAAAATGAATCTATATGAACTATGGGTTAATAGAAGGATTCATCAATATTTGATTTTATGATTAATGTGATTGAGTTAGGAACATGAGATACTGTTGCTCCCCCTCATAATTCTTTGCCAAACATCATAGTTTTTACTCTTCAAAATCTTAAGTGTTTGTGCAGCTGGGATATGTAATGAGAGAAGGAAGGTAATAAAGAGAAGGGAAAATGAGTTGGGGAAAAACAAAGAAATACACATACAGGTACCTGTATAATTATAAACTTCACTTGTTTCTCAAAATGACCATACATTTGTGGGTTAGAAATATCAAGATAATTATTTTACAATAACAGCATTCCTATGTATATAAGATTGTTGATTGACAATGTTTTTTTAAAATTGTAGCTTGTGTAAAACAACGAAGATGTTATTTGTTTTGTTTTTCTCCTTCAGGGGTAGAAGAAAACAGTTTGGACAGTTTCGTTTTTGATACACTTATTCCGAAGCCAATTACCCAAAGGTACTTTAACTTGTTGATGGAGCATCACAGAATTATACTCTCAGGACCAAGTGGTACTGGAAAGACCTATTTAGCAAACAAACTTGCTGAATATGTAATAACCAAATCTGGGAGGAAAAAGACAGAAGATGCAATTGCCACTTTCAATGTGGATCACAAGTCAAGTAAGGTAAGTCACAAAATGCTAAGAGAGTTACTGTTATGTACCCATACATTTCTAAAGCTGTCCAATTTTAGGTTTATGTGAGGCTTCCATGTTATACCTAGAATGATAACAGAAAACTGAACAATATTTTATTTCATCTACAACTAATGTCTATGTGCAATACCAATCAGACTGAATATTATCACCTAGAATATTGGCTATAAAACGTATCCAATGCTTTCATCCATGCTGAGTAAAATTAAAAATCCTGGATATAGGAAGTAGTGGAGGGCTGATATTTCCTTATATTAGTTTACTAGTTAAAATGTGAATGCTATCTATAATGCTCATTGGATACTGCAAATATTACAAGCAACAACTTAAGGGAATCCTAAAACAACATGATCATGAGTTAAACTGACCCAGTCATTTGTCTGTGATGAGATACTTGAGATGAGCTGCCTAAGGGAGGAAAGGTTGATTTTGGCCCACAGTTTGAAAGATTCTTATCCAAGCTTAACTGAATCCATTGCTATGGATCTTGGTGACACAAAGCATCATGGTGAGGGAGGGTATGACAGAGCAAAGCTGCACACATCATGACAGCCAAAAAGCAGAGAGAAAATGAACTTTACAACTTTGCTGGGGGCGGGGGGGAAGGTAAGGGATGGTAGGGGAAAAACCAAAGGAGAGGGTAACAATGCTCAATTGGAAATGGACTCATTGCCTTGCTCAAGTAACTGTAACCCCTCTGCACAGTATGTTTACAATAAAAAATATATTTTTAAAAAAGGAGAAGTGGTTGGAGACAGGATACACCCTTCAAAGACATGCTCCCAATGATACATTGCTTTCAAACAAACCCTACCTCCTAATAGCCAGTTCAATATGAACTTACCCAGGGATTAATCCACTGAGGAGTTTAGTACTTCTCAAAGCCCATCCATGAGGTAGTTACTAAGCTATAGCACAGAACATTAGTTAAATTTGTTTTCTACAAACTGTAATTGATGAGGGCATGGTTAGTACTTTCCTGTTGATGAAAAGTTATCTGTCCACAAAGGAAAAGGATAAATGTTGTTAACTAGATGATTTTTTCTTTAAGTCTTTAAGACTAAGCTATTGCAGCATCAAGGGCCCATTATTGCACATTCATTTTATTTTCTTATCTACAGAATGGAGAAAAAAGTAGGACTGAGGTAGGCCTAGATAAGTGTGTGTGTGTGTGTGTGTGTGTGTGTGTGTGTGTGTGTGTGTGTGTGTGTGTGTGTGTTATGGAGATGAAGGAGAGACAGGCAAACAGTCAGAGGTAAATCATCACAAGTAGATATTGCTGTATAGTTTATTTAGTTACTAATCATAGCCCTTGCTCCTAATGAAACTTTCTTGCACAAACACATGCAGATACATGCACACACTTTTGTTCAAAATTGTCTTATAGATCTCCTCAAAGATTCAATGACACTCATAGAACATAAAGTAATATCTTAACAGTGAAGTAAGTGCAGTCCATGGGTTGCAAATATTGCTTTGGAATTCAGCACTAATCAAACTGAGGTTCAGACACTCATTGCCATGAAGGAGGGTCCTAGACCTGTGGTAGGAAGAACACTTGCTCTTCTCTAAGCTGAAGGCAGAAGTGCACAATTGTTTCCTTGTTGTATTGCCTCCTGTGATCCTGTCTCCTTATAGCTTTACACAGAAGCCTTCTAACAACAGTCTAGCTTTCTTTTCAGCCAAAGAAGATGAAAGGATTTTGAGATCTCTCACTCATCCTTTGTCTTCTCTTTGGCTTTTCCTCAGTACTGATATAAACATCTTTTGATTTTTTTTAAACAATTGTGAGAAAATAAGTAAATAGATGTGTTATGTTAAAGAGTCCAAAATTTTTTTTAATTTTTTTTTTTAATTGGTTATGGGCCTTGAACTCTGGGCCTGGACACTGTCCCTGCGCTCTTCAGCTCAAGGTGAACACTCTACCTCTTGAGCCACAGCACCACTTCCAGGAGTCCAAAATTTTTTATAAAGGTAGAAATCACTTGATATCAAGGTTTGAATTAATTTCAAGCTTCATTTGATAGATTTTGACACAATGAAATAAAACAGGTGATTTCTACTAATAAAATACACATAAAAACCTATCATCTATTCTTTCAATTTTCATTCATATAAAGATTTTGCACTTAAGAAAGACTATTAATGAGCTTCTGTCCTTTGAAATTTTTCTGTTAAATATTTTGAATACTTTCATTTTTAGCTTTTTCAGAAAAAAATATGTATACTATTATTAGATCAGTTTGGTTGATGTTGCAAAATGATGCTAACATAAAGCATTGCCAAGAGTGTTTGAATGGAACGAACAGTGCTAGGAAACAGCGATAGGAAGAATGAATCATGTGGTATTTATCACAAGAAGGCACAAAACACCAAGTGTTTATTGTTCTTTTCTCCTTATTAGATATGAATGAGCTGTCAATAATGCTGGATACAGAGAATGTGGCTGTTTTATTTTTTTCCCCTAAGTTAACAGAAGATTCTCAGGTTTTTTTTTTTTTTTCCCTAGGTGGGTGTGGGTGTAAGTGAGGATGATATTTAAAAAAAAGAGAGAGAGAGAAAGAGTGACAAGTCGAGATTGTGTTAGGGGTGGCTGCTCACCCTGCAGAAAAACTGAAATAAAATGCTAATCAGGCATGAAATAATAAATCCTTTCCCTAGTAATACAGAGCTATGTAATGGCTAATATGTTTCATGCTGTGCTATGGAACTCACGGAAGAGATATAGGCTCCATTCCCGTGAAAGCTTGCTGATTAAAATCCAAACAATAAAAAAAAAACAAAACTTTTCATAGTTTTGGTCCCTTTGAATTTTACATTCTGTTCCTTTTCATACACTTCACGCACTCACTCAAGATGCCAGCTGGAATATTTTGATGGAGAGCAATGCCTATGAGCAATTCTACTTAGTGACATTTGATAGAACAGACCCAGGAGGATAGAGATGGATTTTATAAAGAATATGTGGCCAGCTGAAGCCACTTGGAATAGTAGGGAGGAAGGATCAGTTAGACTTGGCAGATTCATTTTTAGTATGTCTAGAGTCACAATCTGAGAAAACGTGATCTACAGTGTTTATGTTACAGTGGTGCTTTATGTGTACTTTGAAGGTTATAGATGCGGGATTCACCTCATTACTATTGTCCCACCCGGTACATTGTGACAGAGAGTGTGTGTGTGTGTGTGTGTGTGTGTGTGTGTGTGTGTGTGTGTTCTTCATCACTCTGTATAGACGTGAAACATTTTAATGCTATGTGTTAAGTACAGGAATCTCAGATTCAAATCAGAGTAAAGATTATAAAGGCACTCACAGGGAGTCTAGATAAAACCTCTAAGTGATAAGATAACAAAGTTCTTGTGTCTCTTTGTAAATCTGATGCATCCATAGCTTTCATTAGATTCCCAAGGATCTACTACTTCTCTCTAGAGGAAAGAGAACAACATGACACTCTCTTTACTGGCTCCATTTGTCCAAACTCATCCAGGGACTGCCTAATTACCAGTCATTGTCTCTGCTCTTCCCAGCTTGTTTACAAGCAGCGTGTTGCTGCAGTTGATTTTTTTTCATAGAAATTCTTCTGGTTTTCCTAATGATTACTCCTTATTTACTCCCTCCTTGTTTAGTAAGTTTTTCTAAATCTCCTTTCTTAAGTGATCTTTCTTCAGATACCACGAATGAAAATATAGTCCAATGTTCTATTTTCTCTCACTCCTGTTCTTCTCTGGATGATTTTTTTCAGGGTTTCAAAAATATGACTCTTTCAGCTATGAAAAAGGCATCAGAAGTCTGTCCCTATCCTTTCCTATTCATCCTTATCTTGATCACCTTCCCACCCATTTGGACATATACAGGTGTTTCTCACTTTTTTTTTCATGATTTCCTTGAATTGGCTTTCATTCATTTGCAAACTTTGCCCATTCTCATTTTTGAAAATAAGAGTATATTTTTATATTTTAAAATATTATCCCATTATACTACGCTAATGTTTTTCCATTGTTTTCTGCACCCAAGCAAAAACTGTTCCTTGTTATGTAGCACTGTTCCTTGTTCAGATCCATAGTGTCTCTTGGAGTAAGCAGTTTCAGTATTTTTCCTTGGCTGGTCTATCCCTTTCCTTTGCAGTATATTTGCTGTACACTTAAATGACAATTTTATCTTGGTAACATCCCAGAATATTCAATGTTTCTACCTTGTCAACTGGAAATGTCCAGTGATCTCATCCATCATTTAAGCTTGTGAAATAAATCCCTTTCCATTTTATGTAACCCTCGACTTTCATAAAACTTACTTGGACTTGTCTACATGGACATCATGTTTTCATGTTTCTGACTTTGGTTGTTCTTTTTTCTGTTTGGAAAGTTCTCTTATTTGTTAAGCATCCAAATATTACTTAAACATAAAAATTAAGGGTTATTAGCAAATTGTACTGCTACTGCAGAATCTTGAAGAAGCTAGGCCTACTGATTAGTCTTTACAAGCTTTAAAACAACCTCTTTGATCTATGCAAGCAATACATTGTTCACTGTTAATTACAGCTACATCCCTAGCCATATAAGGAATAAGCTCTTTGAATACTTTTTTTTTTTTTTTTTTTTTGGTCCAGTCGTGAGGCCTGAACTCTGGGCCTGGGCACTATCCCTCAGCTCTTCAGCTCAAGGCTAGCACTCTACCACTTGAGCCACAGCGCCACTTCCGGCTTTTTTTTTGTCTTTTTGCTTATGTGGTGCTAGGGAATCGAACCCAGGGCCTCATGTATGCAAGGCAAGAACTCTACCACTGAGCTACCTTCCCAGCCCCTTGAATACTTTTTTTTTTTTTTTTTTTGTCGGTTGTGAGGCTTGAACTCTGGGCCTGGGCGCTGTCCCTCAGCTCTTCAGCTCAAGGCGAGTGCTCTACCACTTGAGCTACAGCACCACTTCCTTGAATACTTTTTTAAAATATTAATCAATCATTATATCTTCACCTTTATGTTTCTTTTGATAAATAAATTACTCTCCCCTACTGACAAGAGATAAAAAATATCAGTGACACACAGTTATTTGTATGGCAAAATCCAATTTCCTCTACATGGATCCTTAGTTTTCTCCCGTTTTTTTTTTCTTCCATTGTGTACAGGGCTACCATATGCTATATTTTCCTGAAACACCAGAATCTTCTGGAAACACATCACATACTCACACTTTCCAGTACTTTTTATTCTTTAGGTTTATTTTTCCCCCCTTGGGCTAGAGGCAGAGCTCAAACATTGCTACAACAGCTGTCTAGGAAGAATGAGGTTCTGAGTTCCAACCCCAGTACCACCAGAGGGGAAAAATACCTTCACTGCATGAACCTTACAGCCAGTCAGACACTTGCCCTGAGCTCCTTTGTGGCATTCTGTACTCATTATGTGGTTGAGATGCAGTTTTGAGGATGTGTCTTTGCTGATCAACAGTTCAGGTCTACAAAGAAATTAGGTTTTATCTTTTAATTCTTGGTGCCAATGTACATGAAACAAAAGTGTTTGGTAATAGTGTGCTATGATGATGAAAATTCAGTTGCGCTTTTTCTCATCATTCATTTCAAATGCCTCCTCTCCATGATCTCTGTCAGACTCCTCTGGTTAGACCTGACCACTCTGTCATGTATAGATCTCCACTACACCTTTCTGATCATAACTTATGAGTGTGCCTACCACTTTCCTTGAACTCTAGCAGCATATTCTCCACAACAGTCATCACAATAGTATATTAAAGTGGTTAAATATACATAGATTTTTCATCCTTAATATGACGTTTAGAATCCTTAATATGACATTTAGAATCTACAGGCTAAACACTCAGATTACCCTTTTCAAACTTCCTTTTCTAGAAAAGTAATTAGTGTACTTTGTAATGAATAGTTAAACTTACTTGAATTCTATCGCAAAATGAAGAACGTTTTCTTACTTTTGTACTTTACAGGGCAAAGTTGTTTTTTTTTTCAAGGTTTAAAGCATCAAACAGTATATGTGAATATTTTTGAAAGAATGCATGACTTAATATAAGTAGATGAGTGATAGATGCTAAAAATATGTTTGAAATAATATATAATAATAAAATTCTGGGCTTAAATATTCTGAGGTTAAATTAAATTCTTCAGGCCATTTAATATATATTTTTCTATATTCTCTGATGCAGGCCACATGATAAAGTAAAGTTTATATTTGACTAAAACTCACCCCTACCTTCTTCCCATCAGCTGTTTCATCTCCTGTACTTTTAGTTCTAAAACATCTCCTGTACTTTTAGTTCTAAACGTAGTTTTATCTCCAGAACTTGGTAGCACCTAGAGACCGAGAATAAGTAGTTCACATATTTAACTGGCTGCCAAAATTAGGATCATGAAAATTAAAAAAAAAAAAAGAGCAAGATTTACAAATTGAAAGTGTCATTGTAAATATGCAAATACTATGGAAATGCTTTTACTGATTAGGATAATTCTAAAAACCTAATTATGTTCCTGGCATACCCATCTGTGAGAATAGTCAATCAGAGAACTGGTTATCATATTTAGATTAAAAATTATTAGAGAGGAATAATACCTGTAAAGGGACCAAGAAGAATAAGAAATCCTAAATGCTGATATTAAATGACAGTGAAATACAACAGCTATTTTATTTAATTTTGCAGTTGCCAGGTGCCAGTGGCTCATGCCTGTAATCCTTTCTACTCAGGAAGCTAGATATGAGTATCTTGGTGCAAATGCAGCATGGATAGAAGAGTCTGTGAGACCATTATCTCCAATTAGCCATCAAAATGCCAGAAATGGAGCTGTGGCTCAAGTGGTAGAGTGCTAACCTTGAACAGAAAGCCAAACAGGAGCATAATGCCCTGAGTTCAAATTCTAGTATCAGCCCACATAAAAATAAATAAATAAATAGCAACAGTTGCTTATATATTACAAATAAATAATAATTGTCTCTGGTTTTATGAGGGTCCTGTGGCTCCACTATTAGTTGCAACTCATCTACATGAACTGAAATTGAAACATGCAGTGTCAGTGGTAGTTGAGAGTTGCCATTTTGGATTTACTCTATCGTTGAAAAATTATAAATTTGGTAAAAATCTGCTTCAGTTACTGAAACATCAATAGTAAAAATGAAGTCACACTATGTTATGATTTGTTATATGATTTCATATCTAGACCTATAAAATGAGTTTGTCGTTTTATATTTGCTGCTGGCAAGGGCTCCTCTTGTGCTTTCTCTTTTCTTAAAGAAATACTTTCAAGGTTGAATGCTTTTTACTTTATGGAATGTTTTTATAGCAATAAAATAATCTATAACTTTAATGAAAAAATGGATAAAATATATAGTATGTGATTTCAAAATATTGCTTGTCCTTGATATAGAATCATGCTTTATGTAATCTTTTTTTTAAGGAATTGCAGCAGTATCTAGCTAACCTGGCTGAACAGTGCAGTGCTGATAATAATGGCGCAGAGCTCCCAGTTGTAATCATTCTTGATAATCTCCATCATGTGGGCTCTTTAGGTGATATCTTCAATGGTTTCCTCAACTGTAAATACAACAAATGGTACGCTCATAAAATTTGAAAATGCGATGATATTATTTGACTTCTTATACCAATTCATATTTTAAGACATGTACTGGATGCCATTAATTTCAGAACCCCTAATCACTATTACTACGTATTTCCCACAATCCATTCCCTAAAATGTCTATTCATTCAGTACTATGTCCTTGTCACTTTTATGCGGATCTGTGCTCCTACAGATGTACTGATAGTGCTCTAGAAGGATACTATCAAGGATGAAACAGTTTGAATCAGGCGAAAGTAATAACTAGAAGGACATTTTAGAAGTAGAGTTTCAAGCTCAGTATATCAAAATCTAAATTCAACTTTTATCTAGAGATACAATTAATCTCTTCAACCATGGATCCCTTGTCACATTTTTACAATTTCCTTGTGAAAATGAAAAAATAGCAGTGCGGTATTAAACAACTGAAAACCCACTAAAATTCATTGTAGCATGGTTTCTAAAGAAAGGACATATAAGAACAATATACAAGCAACATACATATTTGCCTTAGCGTGCTAAATATTTTAATTAATCTCTTCTAGTGATAAAAACCATTATAAATAGATCAGCATAAAAAATAAAAGCAGAACACAAATCTTCTCCTGTTATTAAAAGCCTATAAAAGTTATGAAATTCCAAAAGAAAAGTGATGAATGGATTTGATTATAAGTAAAAGAATTATTAAATGTTAGAGTGGGAAGTACCATTATGATTATGCTATCCAACCTCTCTACTTTATCGATGAGTAAACTAGAGTATGCTCAGGGAGAGAAAATGATTCCCATTTAGGTAGGGGCTTGGGGGGGGGGGGGTGGAGTGTAGTTGTGGAGATGGAAGGGAAGGGATAGTAGGGGAAAAACTAAGGAGGAGACAACAATGCTTGATAAGAAATGTTCTCATTACCTCGCTCATGTAACTGTAACCCCTCCTCTGTACAGCACTTTCACAATAAAAAACTATTTAATAAAAAAAGAAAATGATTCCCCTCGATGTCAGAGCTAGAATTAGAACTTCCAGTAGTAATTTCCAGCTCAGTCATCTTGGTCATTTTCCACCCTAACATTACAAAATGACCCCTTTAAAATGACTGTTAAAATAGACTAATCCAGCTGAGCTCTGGTGGCTTAAAGCTATCCCAAGCAGAAAAGTCTGTGTAATACTATCTCCAAAATAACCAACAGAAAACAAAGATGGAGGTGTGACTCAAGTGGTAGACTATGGGCCAAACAAGCTAAGTCTGTGGCACTCAGTTTAAATCTTAATGCCATTAAAATAAAGGAATAATCTATATTTCATAAGTGTTTTGCATGAGTTTTATTGTATTAATCAGTTCTGCTTGTACACCTAAATTTTCTATGCTGTATTTTCATAGTCCATATATTATTGGAACAATGAATCAGGGAGTTTCTTCATCACCAAATCTAGAATTACATCACAATTTCAGGTAAAGTTGAAGGATTTCTTTTCCTTCCTTCCTTCCTTCCTTCCTTCCTTCCTTCCTTTCTTCCTTCCTTCCTTCCTTCCTTCCTTCCTTCCGTCCTTCCTTCCTTCCTTCTTTCTTTCCTTCCTTCCTTCCATCCATCCTCCTTCCCTTTCTTCCTTCCTCCTCGCTCTCTCTCCCTCTGTTGTCCCTTCTTCAATCCCTCTCTTCCTTCCTTCCTTGGTATTATTTCCTTTTTTGTTTTTTGGTGGTTATTTTTCTATTTGTTCATTGACAAATCTTGCCAGTATTTACCTCTACTGTGAGGCTAATTCTCATTTCTGTGACTCTCTTTTTTCAAGCAGACATATTGTGCTCATCAAAAGTGTTTCTTCAAGAAGAATGGCTTTTAGAGAGTAGAATGTTTCCCCTCCTCCAAGGGGCCCTGGCTCAAGTAGAGCATTTCTCTTCTAAGTGTGAGAAATGTGAAGAGTTCCTACTTCAGGATTTGAGATTTTCCTTTAGGAGGGCACTCAGCATGTAGACTCCCACTTACCTCTGCTGCACTTGAGCTTCCCTTAAGCTCTGAAAAATGGAGTCTTTGCATAATAACTCTAGTGCTAATAAACTTCTCAACACCGGGCAGCCTTAAAGGATGGACGGACTTACACTAGGATCATTAGTACTTTAGATTTGAATTGAAATAACTGTGAAATTAAAATTTTAATCATATAACATTTTCTGATTTTTTTCTTTTTGTAGATGGGTATTATGTGCAAACCACACAGAACCTGTGAAAGGCTTTTTAGAGAGATACCTTCGAAGGAAACTGGTAGAGATGGAAATTGAAAAGAATATACGGAATAATGACCTGGTTAAAATCATAGATTGGATTCCAAAGACGTGGCATCATCTCAATAGTTTTTTAGAAACACATAGTTCTTCTGATGTTACCATTGGTGAGTTCCAAAATGACAATATGCCATTTTCCAAGAACAGAGAGTACTTGATAAAGACAGCCAGCTTGGATGATAAAAAATAACAAGCAAAGCCAATATGTTCAAAGCATTCAAAGATTGAGGGTTTTTTTTTTCCCCTTTCTAAAAGCTTGCCTTCTAAGTTTTCTGCCTTGGATTAGATTCATTTTATTCTGACAATTATTACTAAAATATTACTGAAATCAAGTAAGGTTGATAGAGACAATTTTCTAAAAATCATAGTCATTCAAAATTAATAGTATATTTAGGGTACAAAAGCATTGTAGTGACCAGCTTATATTAAATGCAGTTGTGAGAGAAGATTTTAGTTAGACATCATTTGGATGATTGTAAATAGTTTGGATGATGTCAGCATAGCTGAATTTTGCATTGTAAAATGTGGCAAGTTGACTGCATTGCGACTTTTATTATCACTCCTAGCTCTGATATGCTGTGCTTTGTAGTAATATTTTATGTGAATAAAAAAGAGAGGCCAGGAGATTGTGTCTTCAGTATACGTATTTTTTAAATAATCTGCCTGGCCAAGGTAACAATTTTCTAGTCCTACAAGCAATATCTCACCTCTGCCATTTTATAATATTCCTCAAATATATTTCGTTATTTATGTCTTCTCAGGTCCTAGACTTTTTCTTCCCTGCCCTATGGATGTAGAAGGTTCTAGAGTATGGTTCATGGATCTCTGGAACTATTCTTTGGTACCATATATTCTAGAGGCAGTGAGAGAAGGTCTTCAGGTAGAGTATTTAATTTGTATTATTGTTTAAAAATAAATAAAATGTTCATTCTTGTTTTTTATCAGTCATGGGGCTTGAACTTTGGGCCTGAGCTCTGTCCCTCCACTCTTCAGCTCAAGGCTAGCGCTCTACCATTTGAGCCACAGCGCCACATCCAGTGTTCTCGTAGTTTATTGGCAATAAGAATTTCACAGCTTTTCCTACCCGGGCTGGCTTTGAACTGTGATCCTCAGATCTCAGCCTCCTGAGTAGCTAGGATTACAGGCGTGAGCCACCAGCGCCTGATTGTTAATGTTCATTCTTTTTTAACACAAAGAACCCTTATTTCTTTGGGTGTTTATACAATTAAAATGGAAGTAAAGAAGAGCAACTAATATGCATAGTCATATATTAGGACAAGAGATATATAAGAGAAAAAGGAAACCATTCTTCCAGCAATGACATCTTTTACTTGCAAGCTAACAATCACTTGCAAGATACACTTATTTTTAAAAGAAAACTCCAAATTCTAAGGAAGGCAGTGGACATCTTGTTTAAGCAGGACTCTGCTGATTCTCCCACCTGTTTTGCATCATGAGGCCCTATAACCAACCCTTTTGTGCATAATTCACTAACATGTGAAATATGTCATTAATAGGAAACTCATCTTTCTTCAGCAAAATAGCTTATCTGCTTCCCCCGCCCCCCCCCCCCATCAATCTTGAGGGTTACTTAAAGGGGATTTGAAATTTCATGGAATTGTAGGCTGAAAAAAACGCTTCTAATATTTAGATTATATAATCACCCAACTTATTATGCAGGAATCCAATCTCCTTTCATCCCTCCCCCCGGGTATTTAGGCAGTTTGGGCTTAGATGAAGTTTGGCTTAAGATGAAGGTCATATTTGGCAAATTCAGTCCTCCTTAATACTGTGTCAAGTCTTTCTTTTACTAACTGGAAATTAGTCCTCCATTGTTTTCCTCCTTTCCTTCTCTTGCATTGTCATGCATCTTGATCTAGTAGGGTGGCATGGTGGTGTTTAGAACAATCAAGAGAATGCTAGCAGCATGATGAATGTGAAGATGCTCTGAATACTCAGAGACAAAGTTAAGATGCTAAAAATTATATTAATCATTTTTGTTTCAGATTTAAACAACTCAGTTTCATGTTTTTAAGGATAAGAGCAAATCTCTAACTCTGTGTGTGTGTGTGTGTGCGCGTGTGTGTGTGTGTGTGTGTGTGTGTGTGTGTGTGTGTGTGTGTTAGTACTAGGGCTTGAATTTAGGGCCTAGGCTCTGCTACTTAACTTTTAAACTCAAGACTGGTACTCTACCACTTGAGCCACAGCTCTACTTTTGGCTTTTTTGGAGGTTAATTAGTGGTAAGAGGCTCACAGAATATCTTGCCTGGCTGGCTTAAACTGCTTTCCTCAGATCTCAGACTCCTTAGATGGGATCACAGACATGCACTATCAGGGCCCTCAGTAACACTTTAGTTTGTTAAAAAGGGAAGTAAAAGATGATGACAATGGTTTTTAGTTTTCAAATATAACCAAGTGATTTTTTTTTGGGAGGGGGTCCGGTCATGGGGCCTGAACTCTGGGCCTGGGCACTGTCCCTCAGCTTTTCAGCTCAAGGCTAGCGCTCTACCACTTGAGCCACAGCACCACTTCTGGCTTTTTTCTTTTTGCTTATGTGGTGCTGAGGAATCGAATCCAGGGCCTCAGGCATGCAAGGCAAGAGCTCTACCACTGAACCACCTTCCCAGCCTCAGTTTTCAAATATAACATGATCATGTTTCAGATTACTCTAAAATGTTTATGCTAAGATACAGGTTAGTCTCTCAATACTAATCATTTATTCTAAAAAATAATTTACAATGTAAGATAAATATTTTTAAATTAGTATTTAACTAAATTGTCTTGATAAGTCTCAATATTAATAAACTATCACCTATATCTTTATAGATGAAATTCTTCTTTAATATTTGCTTGCTAATTAAGAGAGAAAGGAGCTTTTATATATCAGAACAATTATATCTAAATATTCATAGCTTTCTTAGACCTTATTGTTAAAATATACATGGGCTCATTTTGCATTAAAGTCAATATTAATTATAAAGCTCTGTTTTGAGAATTATATAGTTAAGATTCTATTTTGACAAATATGAAATCATTTAAATTATGAGCACTTGCTAAAAAAATGGAGAGATACTTCAAAATTATTTGAAGATGGGCAAAACTATCTGTGGTTTTAGATATTTATTAGTTAAATTCATGTGAGAGCTGAGTCAAGTATGATAGGGTTGGAGTGCAAATGCAACATCTAGGAGAAAGAAAACTCATAGTTGGTAGATAGTTTGTTTTGTTGTTGAAGTCAGCAGGCAGATACTCCTAGGAAACTCAGTTTGTTACCTATGGACAAATAAGAAACAATGGAGTTGTAAACCATTCTTTTGGATTCACTGGCTAAGAACGTTGAATTGGAAGAGAGATGAAGAAATGAATCCTGGTAGCAAACATAAAATTCTGAGTGCAGAGCATGGAATATAATGTGTTTGCAGAGGAAAGCTCATGCCTAGGTAAGGAGCCATTTGGGAAATGAATTCTGCCTCATGTTTTAGTTGGAAAGGTGCTAGTGATGTAATTTATTTGATTTTTTTATTCTAATGACTCGTTCTTTAAATGTCAGCAATCTATTCAACTCATGATGAATATTTAAATCTATCTCTTCATCTTTCTTTTCCTATAGTATGTTTTTAGTCCAAAATATAGTTAGACATGTTTAGCATTTGATTATGGTCTCCCTTTTTTTGTCTGAATTATGTTTAAAAGACTAGTATCAGTCATGTTGGTAGTTCTGCTCTGTAATCCAAGCTAAGCAGGAAGCTGAGCCCTAAGGATCATTGTTCCAAGCCAGCCATGGCAGAAAAATTTGTGAGACTCTTATCTCCAAATAAACAAACAAAATGCTGAAAGTGGAAATGTGGCACCACTCAAGTGATAGAGGGCCATATTTGAGCATAAAATCCAATAGAGCATGCCAGACCCTGAGTTAAGCTTCAGTTTGAAAAGAGAGGGGGGAGGGAGAAAGGAAGGCAGGCCAGGAAGATAGGAAGGCAAGCAGGAAGACAAGAAGGCAGGCAGGAAGGGAGGGAGGGAGGGAGGGGAGGGGAGTGGGGAGAGGGAGGAGAGAAGAGGAGAGAAGAGGAGAGGAGGAATATTCTCAGTTGTGTCTAGAGTTCAGTGTTATTTAGGGCTGTTCTAGACTCTCTTTATTTTAACATCTCTTCATTTTAACACAAGCTGTGTAAGAATTATATATTTATCTCTAATTACATTAGAGTGTAGAACAAGCTATGGTTATTATGCTCTGTAAAGTAGATTTCTAACTGAGAGAAAACTTTCTGCTCCAAAAGAAAATAATTATTTAAAAAAACCTTCCAATTGCTCTGTTTGTTACCATAGTCTAAGGCTATGAACATGCATATACCTTCTGAAGGAGAAAAGAGAACTTTAAAGTTTTCCATGGAGTTTTCATGCTGTCCACATTTTGCTTTTGTCTCATTGAACAACAAGAAACCTTGCACTTAAATACAATATGACACACCACAGATACCCAGCCAATATCTTCTCTTTCTCTTTTTCTTTTTGTGTACTTTGTGGCCTTGCAAAAAAAAAATCTTATCAACCTGTGTCTTAAGTGTCTTTTCAGTTTGGTTCAGCTTGTGGCTAGCTTAAAACATTTTACTATGTCTTGGAATCATGTTCTGTCTTCTGCTGTACTCCCTTGAATTAGACTCTAGTGTATCTTCCTTATTGGCTTTTTGTTTTCATGTGAATTCTTAAACAACTGATACGTGATAAACAATTGATTTCTCTTTTCTTAGTCAGCTGATAAACATCTCCAAAGAGGTTTTACAAGAAGCTGTATTATTAGAAGAAGAAGTTAATTGAAGGAAAATGGCTATCAGAGAAAGAATTTTCTAAAAAAAAATTTGAGTAGAGTGTATTCAAAAGAGAAAAACATTGTCTTTTTTCTTTAATTCATTATCTTTCCTATCTTCCATAGAAAACTTTGTTTATTGTAAGTGTAGAATTTTTTTGCCAAGCTATTTAGCCTGGAGGGTATTTTTATTTATTTATTTTTGAGTTTTCTCTGGGTTTGCAAAGTTACTAATAAAGACAAATGCAGGTGATTATTTTTACATGGATTTATAATAAATCTCCTTCATATTCTCTTCCAAATGTTGTTACTTTGCTAGAGGTTCAATTTTTACCTTGTCTCACCTTCAGGTTTTAAATGCAATCAATAAATGTTTAAACTCTAGAAGATGGTAGCCAGACAGTTCCTCTGTAGATTAAGTTCCATAGGAACACAGCATGGGGGAGGGGAGAAACAATTAGTTCTCTCCTTTTTATACTTAATAGGAATGAATTTTATGTATACCAAATATGTGATCAACTTTTAGATGTATGGGAAACGTGCACCGTGGGAAGATCCCTCCAAGTGGGTTCTCGACACATATCCCTGGAGCTCAGCATCTCTGCCTCAGGAAGGCCCAGCATTACTTCAGTTGCGGCCAGAAGATGTTGGGTATGAGGGATGCACATCTACTAAAGAAGCCACAACTTCAAAGCACAAGCCACAGACTGACACGGAAGGAGATCCCCTGGTAAGGAGCTCAAACTCAGTTCTTCCTATAATTATGATATGTGTCTTAGCCCTCTCTTTTCATCATCTCTAATAAAGGCAGTGAGTTATTCGGTAATATTTGAACCTATTCTGATATTGATACCTGGACTTGAATCCTGAAATTTCAGTCAACATTAATTTCAGTGAAATAATTATTAACTCATAATAATTAAATAAGTGAATAATTTTGAAATACTAATTAAATAAATTCTTTGTCTAACAAGAAACAAGAAATCCTGAAGCCTGGTTGAACCCTGTGACTATAATGATTTTTTGGACAAACGATCAGTTGTGTTAATGGTTCAAATCAAAATAATTTTTAAAATATCGTAACAGTTTACTAGGTCTTTCAATGAAAGCTAAATTTTCTTCTTAAGTGAAAACAACAAAAAAGGCTAGATCTAATATGTGTTTACAAAACAAAAGAATATTGAATATACATCACTTAGCCTGATTAAATTTAGGATTACTCTGCTGTTGCTTTCAGGAGGGAAAGAAAAACTGACTTGGAAATCAGAGGGACTTTATTCTCTGTGCTGTACACATGTACATAGTTTATGTTTTAAAAATACTACAATAAGTAAGTCTTCAAAACTCTAAAGAATGAATATTCTGTAGTTGGAGGTATGGCTTAGTCAATGAGTGAAAGCTTCAGGTACTGAGACTGGACTGAGTCCTGGTCTTGTATCTAAGAAACAAAGAAAGAGGCTGGGAAGGTGGCTCAGAGGTAGAGTGCTTGTCTTGCATGCATGAGGCCCTGGGTTCGATTCCTCAGCACCACATAAGCAGAAAAAGCTGGAAGTGGCACTTTGGTTCAAGTGGTAGAGCGCTAGCTTTGACCTGAAAAGCTGAGGGACAGAGCCCAGGCCCAGAGTTCAGGCCTCATGATCGACAAAAATAAAAATAAAAAAAAGAGAGAGAGAGACATCAATGAATATTCTGAATTTAATGTATTTACAGTGCTAGTAGGAAAAAAACTTTGGGGATACCTACTTTTTATTTTTATAGATTACTTTGTATATATTAGTATCAAATATAATATAGTTTTTTAGCTGACCTTTCTGTGTCTAAAGAGATGATTGGATTAGTATAGTCAATACAGAAAGAAAAATCTATTATGTTTATTAAAAAAGATAAAAAGGAAACAAATTAAATTATAACCCATAGCTACATTCAATGACATAATCAGACTGGATGTTTTAAGAAATACTCTTATACAAACTGCCCAAGAGCACACCTATGATCACTCTCACTCTATCAACTGCCCATTATTTGGGGGATTTGTTTTTTTTTTTGTCGGTTGTGGGGCTTGAACTCTGGACCTGGGCACTGACCTTGAGCTCACTTGAGCCACAGCCCCACTTCCTCATGTTGAGGAGTATATGTGGAAAATTTAATCAACGTTCAGGATCTTTTCACAGCAAAATGCACACACACACAGAGAAATTTTGCAGACTAGTTTATGAGTTCCATAGAAATCACTGAAATATACACAAAGCCTTTCTTAGAGCTGAAGGGCCCAGACTGATACTTATCTCATTTGGCACCTGGCCTTTTAGATGATGCGTAGAAATCAACAGGGGAGGTGGATTTGGTTTCAGTACAGTGTAATTGTGAGCATACACTAAATGACTTCTGATAGGACAGTTATGTTTAAATAAAGCAAATACATATTGTAGTATACAAATATGGATTTTTTGAACTTTTAATGAATTCCTGTCCACCCTCTATATTTCTGGTATATCTCTCATGTCTGTTTCAGGTAAGGAAAGGTGTTTCTGAGACTTGTCTTCAGTGTTTGTGTGTAGCATAATGAGATCCTTTTCAAATGACCTCAACTGGGTCACTTTCTATAATCTAAATCAGTATTTTCTTCCCCAATTCTCAACTGTGGGAAAGAGAGACAGAGTCTTGAGAAGTGGGGTTAAAAAAAAAAAAACCTTCTAGTTCCTTAAGAAAGAAGAAATTATATCTCACATACTACAGAGTAAAAGATAAAATCTAAAAATTAATCTTTTGATCTGCTACATCCTTATAGAAAAATATTCTTCCTATTATATCTATATATTTCTACAGTTACTAACTCAATGCAAAATCCAATTGAAATCATAAATCATAGGAGGAAAAATACTATTTAATGCCAGAAGTTCTAACTTTGAATCTGAATTAAATATGACTTTTAGAATATTTCAATTTTTTTAAAAAAAATGCAATATGTAGTTATCACCAACAAGCTAGGTGTTAGTAAATACTACTTACGAAAACTGTGATCTAGAGGCCAGATGTAAGTAATCATTTCTGACCTGTAAAAATTCACATCCGGCAGTAGATAAGCATCTACCCATTCTAACGATAAAGGTACATGCTAAGTAAAGTTATGAGTCCATTGAGGAAGCAATTAGAAAAACGTTCCACAATGAGTTTCCTGAGTTGGGTCTTGGGGCTTAAGGAGGAGTTTATCATATGATGGAGTATATCCAAAATTAAGAGAACCACACATGGGGAGTTTAGGGAACCATAGGTAAGATGGTAAAAAGTATTTAATTGCTAGATGACAGCAATCCTTGTTTATCTTTGCAGGAAGATGCAGAGTTAACAGAGAGCTAGTAAAGGTTTTTGAGTGAGAACTTTTAAAACTGTTTTAACAACAAAGCACAGAATAGATTTAAAGAGAGAAGAGAAAGGAATCTGAGAGAATAGATATGTAGGTATTAGGTGAGGGTAACACAGAATGGATGTGTTAGAAGTAACAGAAAGTTGCTGTTTGATCAAGACTAGAAGGAAGAAACCAAGGAGGAGAGAGGAGGAAATAACGTGGCAAAGGATAATAATCTGATAACAATGGTAATTCAAATAATATAGTTCTTTTCCTCTTGTAATATTTTATGGCACTGCTTGAAACAGCCCTGTGAGAAAACTAAGTAAATCCCACTGTATACATTTATTTTTTTAATTGTCAAGGTGATGTACAGAGGGGTTACAGTTGCGTAAGTAAGGTAGTAAGTACATTTCTTGTCAAACTTGTTACTCCCTCCTAACCATTGTATATATTTATTATGCTCTAAACACAGTTGTGTTGGTTAAATCAGTCTCTATCAAATGCTTTGCATACAGCCTCTGCTTGTGAGGGATGGGTTGACAAAAGAAAAGATGGTGTGTGTGTGTGTGTGTGTGTGTGTGTGTGTGTGTGTGTGTGTGTGTATAAGAGTGTAAGAGAAAGAGAAAGACAAAGAGATGACTAAGAGGAGACAGAGGCATTCATTTTATTGGTTTAGTGGGTTTGAAAGATTACCACTAACTACTTTGAATTCACAGCCTTATGTACCTGCTTTAATGCATTCAGAGATTTAGATTGAAAATTAGCTTGAAGAAATGCAGTCCCAACTATTATTAAAATGACTTCAAAATAGGCTCTAACTTTTTTTTTTTCTAAAAAGGCATTCTTGCTGAAAGTGGCGACTACCAGTTTGTCTTTCATTTTGCAAGCATTTATTGAACACAGATTTTACACTGAGCATGTAAACATGCTTAGAATCCCTTCTATTTTCCTACATTGGAAAGCAAATAACCACTTGAAATAATGTATAACATAATATAATGACTCCATATCAAGCAATGCCAATGGGATTGTGATGTAGAAATGCTTGATAAAGCAAAGAAACAACCCTGTCGTTGATTTTTCTGTTTTCTAAAATGGTTGAGCCATCCTGTTTTAAGGAACCTGGGGGCTTTAGATCCATCAGAATCCAAGCACTGCCTCTTCCTTTTATTTTTCTAAAATACTGGCTAGCTGCCTTTCTCCCCAGGTGCTTGTATGCACAAGTCCCTTGTTGCTCAACAAGCCTTAGCATTCCCTCATCAAACTGGGGAAACTTGAGACAACAGCTATTGTTCCAGAAGGTGGCTTTTGTTTTCAGTGATATATCAATCATATTTCTGCGAGAAATTCAATAACAACCCAAACTTGACAGAGATTCTTTCCTTCTCCCTCTTCAAATGCTCATGGTTCTGCTTCATTCTGTCACCTTCTCTTTGAGGTCAGCTCCTGAATAGCAGATGGTGTGCTGTGAGCAGCAGCTGGCTGCATTCCACTCCATCCTCCCCTCCTCCTCTCCAGGGACAATGCTTGTGTGTATGTGTTGTCTGTGAGGCCCTCGCGTTGGTGGGTGTATGAACATTCACGATCTTTAGTTGCCATTCACTGCTTTCTGTTTCTCCCAGCCAAAAAGCTGGGAAACTTGGCTTCCTCTCCAGCAACCAACCCAGATGTCCAGCTGTGATACAGTTTCTTTTCCAGTCTCCCTGCTGGAGCAGTATTCATTCATAGCCCCAAATAAAACAGTTATCTAGCCAGCCCTATTTTGTCCTTATGGTTTGGTGTGGTAGCTGTGTTTGGGAGAAACATGAACAGGAGCCAGGGGCAATGAGTGTAAATCCAAAAACTCTTTGCCATTTCGCTTGGATATGGGATAAGACGGTGCTTTTAATGGTTCCATGTGGCTGAGGGCTGTGTTTGTTCGGGGACTGGCTGATTCAATGCATCACTGCTCACAGGGATGTCTCTCTTTTCTTTCTTCAGATGAATATGTTAATGAAACTCCAAGAAGCAGCCAATTACCCGGGCACACAAAGCTGCGACAGTGATAGCACCAGCCACCATGAAGACATTTTGGATTCGTCTCTTGAATCCACCCTCTAGGGTGCAAAAAAAAGGGGGGAAAAGAAGTTAGGGGTAAAAACAATGCATTTTAACAAAGTGTTTTGAAAGACAAAGGTATTTTCACAAAACGTATTTCACTGCCAGTATGAAAGTCCCCTGTCCAGGGCTCTGACCCAGTCTTGTGGTCACCAAGGAGGAAACAGAACTAAGATCAGAAGCGCCAAGATGCTAAGTTGTAATGGGAGCTTGACTTTATTTTATTTCTAGGCATTTTGAATATCCACAGAGCCCTTGCAGGCTCTATGACCCGACTGGAAAGATCTCTCATGACAGGGCAACTGAAAATAGCTTGCACACATGGGTTAGCCAGACTGGACTTTCCTTTTCCTTTCTCTTTAAAAGTTTACAACGTCAACCTTTTCTTTTTCTTTTCTCCCTTTTCCTTTTGTTCCTTGCCTGTTCTCCCCAGGCAGAGTCCCTTCTGATCTGTCCATCCACCTCCTTGGGGCCACCCTCCTTGGTGCTGGTCACAGGGCTCCAGTAGTGTTTGTGTTGTACACCACCCCATTCCAGTGAATCCAAGAGGCTAGTCCTCCAGAAGCACAAAAGGAATTGTGCAACCACCAGGAAAACACTACTGTGGCAAACTGGAGAATTGCCAATTTCACTCACACTGCCGTGTTCTCGATCACATGCGCCACCAACTTCTTAGCGTCTGAGTCGCAGGTTTTATAAGGTTGTTTTTACCACAGTGGTCTTTTTAAACCACCTACCCACTCCCTTAACAAGAGTTTTATACCAATTATTAGTCCACACTGACAAAAGGCTTTTTAGGGCTTTATTTGTTCGAGCCTTTTCAGTGAAAGAAGGAACATTTCCTATGGTGCTGTCTCACTGCCTTAAAACAGATTTCTACAATGGTTTACCAGTTGGTTCAAATCCAGAAGTATTGGTAATTTCCTCCGTCTTTTTAATTTCATAGCTATGCTACACCAGTTAACACAGTAGCCTCATCTCTATAAATTGCTGGGGGGAAGGTTTTGTTGCTGTTGTTTCTTTTCTCTTTCTCTCTTTTTTGGAGAAATGGATAGGAGGACTATCGGTATGTTTACCTTTGAGTAGATTGTTTTCCCTGTCCTCTACGTGACTTGAGTACTCTTAGAAACCCTCTTTGACCGTTGCTTCAAAGTAGAAACATGTGGCTAAATTCCATCCAGTTCTAACTGAAAAAAAGAGTTTCAGAAGGTGGGAGCTTTTGAATCCTGATCCAGCAGAGCCAGGAGCACGAGAGGAAGCCTGAGCACAACTATTTGGTTTTCTTTCCATGTTCTTTCATTTCCATTTCTTTTCTTTTTTTCTTTTTAGTTTTGATGCATGTTGTTTTGATCGCTGTTATTGTACATGAGAAATTCAGCATTAAAGAACACTGAAGCAGTAAAGTCACTGTGGAAAGAGGGAGAGTTGATACTGTAAAAGAAGGTTAGATATGCACAGTCTACTGGGTAGGTATTGTAAATAATAATGTTTATCAAAGTTGCACAAATCAAAACAAACACAAACAAAGTTGTATTTTATCCTGTTGGTGTTTTAAGAGGTGTTTCACTTGCTGAGATTTCCTGTATGTTGCAAACAAAAGACAGAATGCAAATCCTCAAAGCTGTTATGATCTGGTGTGTTTGTCCTGTATTCACAGTTGTTATGACTACACAGGAGCTCTCAGTGCTACAGTGAGCATGCTTCAAAACTGTCCATGAAGCCAGTATATTTTTGGAATCAGTAAAACTGTCTAAAAGTATATCTGTGGTGGCAGGCTTTAGAGTGCATGAAAACTGATCAGAGTCATTGGAGAAGTTAACCATCTCTCTCTCACACACACATACACACACACACCACACACACACACACACACACACACACAGAGGACAGGTTTGTAGTTCATGAAACCCAAGGGCTAGGCCATGGTGTTGACTTGTTCTACGCAAGGGAAAATGATGTGCTACTTTTCAGATGTGTAACTGGTGCTATCCTCTGTGACCACCCCATGGGTCAGTTGCTATCAAACAAGTCATATCAAGACATCTGTGCAGTTTTCAGAGCATCACTAAGTGTATAGGTCCTTATAAGGTGCTATTGCCCTGAGGGAAATCTGAACTGAATTATGCACATGGAATTGTCACCCTGACTTTCAAGCCTCAAACAAGGATCAAATCTGTTGTACAACATCCATATATGTAGCTGGATGAGTGACTTTTGCCCTTGTATAATATGTGATCTATGAAAATTGCGAATCTTTCCCTGCCATTTTGAGAAACACAGTCCAAACATGAGCATAAACAGAATTTCCTGCAATACATCCAATAGGTCCGCCTAGTTTACAACTTAAACTAGTTTGTGAAACATTTGTCTGTATACATTTTATATTTTGTACATTTTCTGATGTAACATATCATGTAAATAGGCAGAAACAGTGAGAAATAAATCATCTGACAAGGTTTTGTAGTCTTTGTAAAGCCCCAACAATAAGTACTTGGTGTCAATGGACTTAACTGGATGACGTATTTTCTATTGGTTTATTGTTCCTCTCTAGCTTGTAAACCAGCTTGCATATATTTTTTTGCAAACGTGCACCCTGTATCTGTCTAAATTATTACTTTGCCATTAAAGTGGAATTATTTATTGATGACAAGGTGTGGTGTCTGTGTCTGGAGAAAAAAGTAATGGAGTAATTTTGAAAAAGGGAGGTGTCAATCTGTAAAATAGGGATTCTCTTACTGGGAATGTGTGTGAATTTACATTTTATATCCTCCATAGGTAAATCCCCGAAGCTTTTAGATAAACCAATAAATTATATATATATATATATAGAGAGAGAGAGAGAGATCTTTTAAAATAAAAGTTACTAATTCAGTGAATATTTTTTTAGAAAATTCTGAATAGTTTATATAAATGCCTTGAGATAAAAAAGGATTAATATAAAATAAAATAGTGATACTCAGTTATAATCAAATTAGTAAAGGCTTTTTTTGCTTTTATTCCATTAAATTCTCTTTTGATCTAGAGACGTTTTGTTATTGGGGTGGTTTGTTTTATTTTGAACATATAAGACTATGGAAACAAAAAAAAACTTCATTTAAAATTTAAAGTTCATTCAAAATAGCTTGAGATTTATTTGTCTGTAATTCAAATTATACTTGGGAGCATAACTAGGGGTTAAACTCTAAAATCAGGAACATTTTTGAATTAAAAATTGAAGAAAAAAGGCACTAGTTAAAATGGGCCATTTATCTACCCATGATTAATTAAAAATATAATTTTCCCTTCACTCAGTTTCAAAGATCCAGGAAATTTCTATTATTTACTTTATTCAAATAAACAATAAAATAATCTAGTGTTTGGGACTGGGAATGAGGTTTTTTTCTCATCATTTTCCTTCTGTCTTCTATGAAGTCACCTAATTGGATAATTTAGAAATAATTATTAAGTCCAATACAACACTAACTTTCAAGAGCATATGTCAGAATGTTATTATACTTTCATCTTAGGACCTCTAGATGATGAATTTAAAATTTTTTCTCCTAGCCAAAACATTTTTGAAAAGTGTTAACTAGATAAAACTGAAAAGAATACTTATTTGCAATTCCTGACTTTTGACTGTTGAATGGATATGTAAGTACTTGGTTCCTAAAATAGACAATCTCAGAACTGATTAACGGAAATTTGATTGATTAATGAAAATTGTTTAATGTTTTATCAGGATTCTTATTTATTCAAAGAAGAATATTTGGGCTGGCTTCAAACTTGCTATCCTCCTGTCTCAATCTCCCCAATAGCTGGGAATACAGGCATGCAACACTATTCTAGTTTAGGACATTTTGTTAACAGCATTTGTTTCCTCTTATGCTAAGATCTTCATTCATTCTCTTTACACCTTGTCAAACCTTTCATGCCTTGGACCACCTTTGTGATATCACAGACTAGGTAAAGAATCTGAATCATTTGTCTAGAATTGCATATACATACAGTGTCCAACTTATGCTTCATTTTTAGAGTCTAGAATAGTTTATTCTCCAAAATATATTGAGTTGAGCAATACTAGCTACTCAGGAGACTGAGATCTGAGGATCGCAGTTCAAAAATAGCGCCAGGAAGAAAGTCCGTGAGACTCTTTTCTCCAATTAATCACCAAAAAAGCTGGAAGTAGCACTGTGACTCTACAAGTAGTAGAGTGCTAGTCTTTAGCAAAAGAAGTTTGGTTACAGCACCCAGGCCTGAGTTCAATCCCCACGACTGACAAAAAACCACCACCAACAAAAAACATTGAATTAAAATATTTTTGAATGTGCAGACAGCAACTTAGTATACCATTGTAGATAAGGTCCTTAATCTCAAGATCATGTTTGTGCATGGAGTGTCCTGTGATCTAACTTCTAATTAGAATACTATGAGTGAACAGAGAAGGAAGAGATAGATATGGAGAAGACTTGAACGATCCAACAACAACAAAGTATTGCCTCACCCTTGGAATTCTTCCCCCTTTGTATATAATGTGCTCTATTTCATACAAGTTCTCTTTTTTCATTCTACTGTTAAAGTTGTCTTTAGGTATTTTAGTTATATATAGGAGAGTTTAAATGTGTGAGGTTTTTGGGGGGGACAAAGAAAATACTCTAAGCAGTTAGAAATGTAATGTTAGAGTCTAGAAGATAGGTGGCAACTGAAAAGATAGAACTAGGTTTCCTTAGCAGAGAAACAGGCAAGTGAAATGAATTGCACTTTGGGACAAGTCCCCAGGAGAAAGCACTCAACTGAGTTTAAAAAAAAAAAAAGAATAGGTGGAAATCTGTATAGTTCATTTGGCTTATATTTCTTAATTTATCCAGTCCAATGTTTATATGTACCAAATGTAAAATTTATGAAGATGTTAAATAAACCTATTTAAATTAGGAACCAGAAAAATCTACAACCTAATAGGTTTTGTGGTTCTTATGAAAGAATCTGCTGATCTAATACCTTTGTTCTTGTAGGTCTTATAGCCTAGGATGTTGATGTTTAAATGCCATCAATGTATCTGTAGTAGTTACGTACAGTATTTATAATGGAGATTATCTGTATCTCCATTGGTCAGCCTAAAATCTAGAAATCTAATCATAGCCCATCCAAGAACATTTGAATGTTGAATAGTATCTTAAATGGTTGGGTTCAGTTTAGGTTGGAGCTAACTTAATATGATGAGTAGAGACCACTGTGGATAAGAATACTACATCCTTTAATAGAGTGATATTCAAAGTGGAGAAGCTGAAACAAACTCCCTATTGATATTTGGCATGCAGTAGAAGGATCACCTGCCAGACATTCGCAGCTCTTGAGTCCATACCCCCTAGTTCCCAGCCAAGCAGCCTTCTTGGTGAGTTATTAACATTCTCAAATTCAACACTGCCTTTAATTGGGTTGGAAGATGGTGTGATCTCCTTAGCCTTATTAGCAGAAACTTGGTTTTCTTTGGACATCTGAGGCTGAAAACAAGCACTATGAAAAGCCAGAGTCAGCCTCCGGTGGGTAGTGAATTATGCTACAGTCTGGCCACTATGTAGAAGCAATTGTAGGCTCTTCCAATATTGGTGGCTCCTCGAGAGAAGGAAATTCACCTGGAGAGTGTTCATGGTGAGACACTTCATTCTTCACATGAGAGGCAGTACTCTCAGAGCAGACATGAGAGGAACAGACACAATTTACATCCTCCAGGAGTCCCATTAATGAAAGCAAAAGGTGGAAATAAGCACAGTAATCATTTCATTACGTTAATATATCAAAGATACTATCTCAATGAATGATCAAGTTAAATTCTTTTTAATAACGTCTCTTACATGGTTTGCATTCTTTACTCTTAATACTAAGTTGGAAATTCAGCATGCAGTTTACACTCATCACCATATATCTCAATTTGGATGTCTGATTTTCAACTGAACCACTAGATCTGTATTTAAAACTCTACAAGTTATACTTGATAAAGAACATTGAAATAAGTTGCTCCAAACATGCCTAAAGCTCATATCAGTCTTCAATTTAAATGTTGGTAATGGTCATTAAATAAACTGAAGGTTGAGTTTCTAAATGGGTATGACCATCAAGGGCCTAAAAGCTATGCGTCTATTGACTGCTCATCAACAGAACAGTAAAGTTCTGGCCACCCATGGTAAGTACTCCATGCCCTCTGAGCATAAGTAGAACCTGTCTCCTCTCTTGGCGAAGCCCGAGCAGCTCCACTGAGCGGCTGCCTTTCTCAAAGAGTTGGATTCAGACAGCCTTGTGGTTTTTCTCTTTCACACTCAGCGCTGACTGAACACATTGTCTGTATTTCACTGACTCCTTTATCTTTCTTTGTACTTAAGCTTTGGTAACAGTCACTCTCGTCTGTCTTTTCTAATATTTTTTTCTCAACCATTGGTGTAAAAGCATGAACTTCTTAATAAACACGTCCACCCTTTTTCGAGAGTAGTTTAAAGTGTTAACCCCCCCCCACACACACACACAGAATCTGTATTATACAAAACTTTCCTGATCTTTAATTGTATTTACATTATTATAGCAAAAGACTATAAGCCATAGCTCATAAGGAACATAAATTTATTTTTCACATTTCCAGAACATCTGGGACCTCTGAGACCAGAGTCCTGACAGGTTCAGTGCCTGAGGAGGGGATGAGGGGGAGGGCAGGGGTTGTGCACTTACTCACAGATGGTTATCTTCTTGCTGCACTTTCATGGGACTGATGGGATGAGACAGCTCTCTAGGATTTCTCTTTACAAGAGAAGGAACCCCATTCCTGAGGGCTCCACTCATGACCCGGCACACAGCAAAAGCTCACTTTGCAAAGCTTACACGTTGGGGAGTAGGATTTCAACATGACTTGGTAGAGACACAGAAAGTCACATTTAACTCCTCCTCATTCTGCATTTGGATGACTAGAGAACTCTAAATTGTCTATTTGCTGGACAGGAAGTTATCTCTAGATGAAACCATAACAACCAAAGGGACTAGTGTATAGAATAACCAGCCAAAGGCATTATCAAAATCCTCTGTAACCCTGCTTACTCAGTAGGCTGAAAGCTGAAGATCACAGTTTGAAGCCAGCTAAGGCAGGAAAGTCCCAGAGACTCTTATCTCAAAAAAACAAAAACAAACAAAAACCTACTCAGATAATGCTGGGAGTGGTTCTGGCTCAAGCACCAGCCTGGAGCAAATCAGGCTGAGTGACAGCACCCAGGCCCTGAGTTCAAGCCTCAGGACCAGCACACACACACAAAATCAAGAGCAAACTCAGAATTTGACTTCACATATATGGATCATCTAAGCATGTACACTTTGCGCATGCGCGCAAGCACACACACACACACACACACACACACACACACACACACACACACACACACACACACAAAGGTCTTAAAAAATTGAAGGGAGCTGAGAGAAAAGTGTATGGATCATTAAACTAGACACTCAGGCTTTGAGGGAGAAAAACAGTTTAAAGTAGCACTTTTCCTAATCTGAACCAAATATATCCCTGACTGTCTCCCTGTTTTGTCCACATTCCCAATTTGCCATCCATCACTATTTACTAATTGGGCTTCTTGCAAATCCTAAAACATGCAAAGACACTTCTAAAATGAAAAATGCACACACATATATGTATAGAAT